GCCTTTCCATTGTTTTTCCTACAATGGACATAAGGCTAACAGGTCTGTAATTCCCCATGTCCCTTCTACTACCCCTTTTGACATTTGGGACCACTGATGCCACCCTCCAGTCCTCTGGAACTTCACCCATTCTCCACCAGGCCTCAAATATATAAATATATAGTCACAAACAATAGAAACAGATATATCCAAATTTATGAAGTTGCATCCATTGTTTCTTTTTCCCTCTTATGGTTTGCTTTTGCTGAAAAATTGTGAGGGAGTTAAACATTATTGTTTTACGCAAGGATTTGAATGACATGACCAGCTGCAGCTGTAACTCAAATAGTCACAAACTACCCTGTACATGTTGCTGTTAACTATGGCTTTTAAAAGCCACAGTGGGCCGCAGCAACAGTGTGAGTTGGTTGTCGTAAGCAGCAGTCATAGGCCAGTTCCTTGCAAAATGTTCTTTATTGCTTCCACGTACAAATCACCCAGCATGCACAGAGCCATTTGTTGAACCCAATGTAGTGATTGCCTCCAGGAACTTTCCTTATGAACATGTCTGGGTCACAACCTTTTGGGAGAGGTGCTCCGAAGGCAAGCAAGCTTCCTCTCCACAGGTCACGCATTCAGTTGGTCCTCTTGCCACTCTGATGCTGTGCCACAGGGTTGAGTGCAGGGGAGGGGCTGTCTCTGGCTGGGAATTCCTCATCCCCAGCAGCCCCTCCCTATAACTGAACAGCTTGACATTCCCAGGAGCTGGCTGCTGCTGTGAAGCATTTAGCCTTGGGACAGTCTGCTCCTGCTGCTGTATCTCAGAACCTTGAGCTAACCCATGCTTCCCAATCTCATTGAAACATTCTTCATCTTTCAGTTTGGAATCAGCACTTGAAATGTGGCCAGCAGTCTGTAGGTATGCTTGCCCAACCCTGCCATTCCTCTTGCTCCCGGCGTGGGTTCAGTATCTCTCTACTCTGTGATTCTGGCCAAGTTACTGGTGTCCGCTTCTAATTTTTCTGGAAATGGGAAGCATGTGGCTATTTCCAAAACTGTGATGTGGCTATTTCCAAAAAGCGCAACCCTGTGGTCTTTTTCTCTCCCCAAGTCATGCCAATTACTGACATGATAACATTTTGTCCTGAATTAACCCACTGTTGTTCCATTTCACTGGCGTGGTTCATGCCACATTACATGCTAGGAGCATTATATAGCCTGCATTATATTTAAACCCAGATACTATAGGTTAATAATGAGTTAAGGTTAATACTAATTACAGATTCATTGTGGGTTGATTAACTCATAACTTACAGTGTTTGGAATTAGATGACACATATCAACCCCTGATATGCCCAGTTGGGGGTTAAATATTCAAAATGGCCACAGAACCTCTCTGGCCCACGCTGCAGCTTATCATGGGTAAAGTAACCTGTGTTTTGTAACCATTATATGCAGACCCGGTCAGTGTGTGCCACCTGTGGGATAAGAAAATCCAGAGTACAGTGACATCGCATTGCAGGTTTTGTACTGCAGGAGAAAGATATGAAGGGCTGTTATTTTCAGTAGCTAGCATGCTCTTTTTATACCATCTAATTCTGAAACACTGCTGCTGAATGCTGAACCTCATGAGGCTATTTATCTATGAAGAGGAGATGATATTAAAAAATTATGTTATTAATTTCTGTATCTGGCCACTTATTCTAGAAGCATGCTGCTTTCTAAAATATTTCCTTATTGAGTGGGCTATGTGTGTTTATACTTTTAAGAAATACATTAAAATAATAAAGGAGTGGGAGCTGGAATGAAAAATGTCATCCTGACCCAACAACAATCTCATGAGCATCATGGAGCATCAACAAAATATAGGCAACAGGATGCACATTAGACTTTGTTTGAGTCAAGCATTTGGAATAAAATGATTCACTAGTAGAGGAAAAAGGAAGTTCAAGAAGTGGAAACTCAAAATGTAAACAAGAAAGAGTTAAAACATGAAATAAGTCTGTGACATGAAGGAGGCTTCTGCAAGTCTTTCTATTTTTCCCACACCCTCATGATTTAAGCCACGTTTCTGCATTTATTGCTTAAAATTTTGAAGGAGCCTCTCTGGCGATCTTCATTCTCTAAAGTCACAGATTGTATCAATCCATTGTAACAATAAGACAGGGGTAAAACATTAATTATCTTCAAAACAATGCAAGCTCTTGGCAGGGAGACCATGACCGTGTTTACAGTAAGGACTGAAGTGAAGCCTGCATGTATTATCACAGCTTTGTGCTCCTTAGAATTTATTTGGTCATCAGGTTTAAGCTTTGGTTCATATCCAGTGTCCTGTACAGCCTTTCAAATTTGATGATGAATAAAAGCTACTTGGATAGACCACTGACATTTTTCTGCAAAATGTAATGTGGTTCTTGAGTTTCTTCCACCATTGTCTTTTCCATAGAGATCGTTGCATTTGATTGTTGTAGGCCAATTAGATGCTCCATGAGCGTAATGAAAAATTGCCTCAGCCAGGTTTTTTACCCTAAATTCTCTTTCTCAAGAGCTTGTCTACTACCTTCTAGTAGACTGTTACAATACAAAATATTTACCTAGGCCTAAGTCAAGAACTCCAGTGGTTGGTTAGGTATTTATAGTGAAAGGTTTAGATTGGATTCTGTCCAGGAAAAGATAGTCACAGCTAAGTCTAAATAGTCAAAATCTGTTGCAACTAACTTCTGTGGAAGTGTGCCTGTTGTTTCAGCCTGGGGAAGAAGCACTTGTAAGTTGTCAAAATACTGCATGGTAAAAATGTCTTTGCAAGGGTATTTTTGGTAAGCATACGACTTTCCAATTTAACATGCTTTAAGCATTTGGATGGGTATTTCCTCCTCAGCATTTAACTGGTGGGCAGCCTTTTTCCCAGCATCACTTCTTGGACATGAACTTCCTGTTGCTTTCCAGTGGAAGCATTTGATTTGATATATAGCAAACTTGTTCAGTCATCAAGACGGCAGACAAGCAAAAGAAGGCTAACAAAGAACATTCACCTCTCAGGGTGTATATGTGTGTATCCTGTGCTGAGCAGTCCCAGATGGATGCTCAGCCCTTATCTTGGCTGTTTGCTGTGGAGGATATCCTATTTGTTAGTCAGAGCTGAGAGATAGTGACTGTTTGTGGTCACTTTCTGTTGCTTGCTGACATCCTGACGTGGTGAATCATTCCTGGCTTCTGGCATGAAGGAATATACTATGTGCCTTCACTCCCAATCTGGACTCCTCAGAGAATGTGCCGGATAGCCTTCTGGCAGAGGGGTTGACACTGGCAGCCAAGCAAATGAATACAGCATGAATAACAGCTGTATTGGGATACTAATTGTGAATGGGCATTAGGCATGTGGGAAATAAACAAAATCCTGCTGCATCAAAGGGTCCATGCTAGGTTGCACATCTGGACCAGTGAAGTCATATAGTTGATCCTGGATCCCCCCCCCAACCACCTTTCTGGGCATTCATTCAATCTGCTTTGGCTCGTTTCCTCTAACAGTGTTTCTCAGAGGCGTTCATTGTTCACCTGCTATCCAGGCCTCTGTCTTTGTCCTCCTTTCTCTAACCTTATCCCTCTCAGGGTTGCTTCACATGTTTCCTTTTCCACTGCTAGTAAAGACTCAGACTTGTATTGGAAATGCTGTGTATGTACATCTCAATGTGTGATTGGCACTATAGCTCTGACTACATTAATATCCTTAAGTGGCTGCTGAATTGTATCGGTGTCTTAATTCCAAAAGCTTCATTGTTTATCTCTTTGTTTTTAGGGAACACATGACCCTTTAGAAGTTCAGTCATACTGAGAAAATTAATCCCTTTTGAGTGTGGATGATAGAGTTTAAACCATGATTGGTTGATATGTGTGAACACAGAATTGTGAGCCATTCATGGGTTCTTTCATGACTCTCCATAGGCAGTGGGCAAAGTGGTTAAAAATAAAGCCCAAGTTGTGGTGCATGCCAATGCTTTAGCAGTGTAGAACCATTGGAAACACACGGAGCAAAGGAGAAAGGAAAAGCAATGGTTAAGAGTGCTGGCCTAGGACTCTGGTCACCACTCAGCCATGGAGTTAACTGGGTGGCTTAGGAGCCAGTCACAGGCTCTCAGCCCAACCTACCCCACAGGGCTCTTGTAAGGATAACAGTAAGAGGACGAGGAGGATTATGTAAGCCACCTTCAATTCCTTGGGAAGAAAAAAGGCAGGATATACATGTAATTAAATAATAAACAACAGAGGGATTGACAGAAGCTATGGTTTGTTCAGTCAGCGCTGGATAAAACCTGGGTAAGGTAACAAACCGTGGGTTAAACAAACATAGCATTATATGTGATCCATGTCACTTAAGAGCTTGGAGGCACTGCTGACAGTAATTGTGCATACAGCAGGGGTATCCCCTTACTGTCATACCTCTCATGAGCCTGCTGAATTCCTGGTGGCTGCCTGAAGATGGTCTCTCCTCATGGTCAGTATGCATGCAAGTTTGGCTTGACACTTTAAAGAGGTCTGATGGTAGTGGAAATACCACTTGTACTTATTGTAATTTCATGGCACATTGTCACAAGGTCGTTGGCAGGTGTTTTGGAGCCCACACTCACTCCGGCACTGTGTATGTGGGCAAAGGTGTTGTATGCTTACTTGAGACTTACAGAAGTCATTCAAGGGCAATGTAAAGCTTTTTGAAGAAAGACCTAGTGGGAGTTGGTGCAGAAATGGAATGTTATCCAACAATAATGACCTGTTGCACAGATACTCATGACTGACATGCATCTTCACATTTCCAAATGTCTAGCAAATGTTTCTTAAAGGCCATTTATTTATCTGAATTAATTTAAATGCTTTATGTGGCTATATGTACAACCCATGCAGTTCAACATCTGTTTATAGTCATTGCCTGGGTCTTTTTCCAACAGCCCGTATCTGCCAGCTTAGTTACTGCTACAGATGTGTGCTCCAACTTCAGCTGGTCTAATGTTGTCATTGTTTGTTGACAGGTTCCCAAGAGTCAGATAGCTCTCAGTCTGCCAAGAAAGACATGCTGGCTGCCTTGAAATCTAGGCAAGAAGCACTGGAGGAGACACTACGCCAGCGCCTGGAGGAACTGAAGAAACTGTGTCTCCGAGAAGCGGTAGGTAGAAGAGTTTTGGATAATCCTTGGGAGATCCTGTGTTGTTTCAGATGTGCAAGGATGCAAAAACTTAATGGAAGAGTACTATCGTATCGCATCTCTCTCTTGGAAAGTGGAAAGGCTTAGGCTTGGATCCATACTTAAACATTTCCAGCAGAGCTAGTGGAAGCATACTGCTGTGCCTAGGGATCCTGCAGTGGAGTGAGCTGTGTTGAAATTGGGAAGGAGCCTTCCTGAAAATTGCATAGTGAATAGAACCCTTTGGTCAATTGATCCAACCCTGAGTAATCCCCCCAAAACTTCCCACCAAAGTCAGTGAAAAAATTGAGTGCTTAAGTTGGTGCTAGAACCATTTGCACTTTAACCTCAAATATTACAACTGTATGATTAATATATTGCAAGATATGAATCAGGTAATTTCATTTGTTTCTCTGCATGGCTCAATTTATGAGTTATTTCCTTTCTTCTACATAACAACTACTTCACAAGAGTTTTATCCTGATTTGACCATTAGAATTTAGTCACAAATTGCAGTGTAAAATTCATTTTCAATGACTTCCCACCCACTCTCTGGATCCACAACAGATGAACCATTTAGTAAGCGTACGTGGTTGCCATAATCCCTTTCTTTCTGGTTCCCAGCCTGTAAGTGTTATGACTTCTGTAACCAAAACAGCCCCAATCATGCAACATGGGGAGGCATCATCACCCTTGAGAGGGAGCCCTCAGAGTTTATGCAACTACAAAATACTTTAGAAAATAATTAAGAGAAGAAAATCAGACAACATTTCAGAAGGTTGGTGGCGAAAGCCACTAAAGAGTCCTGAGCAGTCAGTAAGGCTGCACTAGGCCATTTCTTCCCAACATAGGTTATCCCCCAAGGAAACCCAGTGCCAAAACAGCATAAACCATAGCTGAATTGGATTCTTCAGTAGCATTGTGGATAAAGATGATTCCATTGCCACTATGAAAAAAGAAAGACAGGGTGCTATAAAATAAAGATGTGGTGTCTTTATGCCTGTCTGCCTCTCTCTCAATACCCCCCCCCCCCCACACACACACATGCAAACAACTTGCTGGTGTCGATTTAACCTGACTTGGACTCAAGTTGTTCACAGTGAATGTACAGTGGTGCCTCGGCTCATGAACGCCTTGGTTCACAACCACATCAGGTCACAAAGAAAAATTTCATGAAAAATTTGACTTGGGTCGCGAACTCTGCATTGGGTGGCAACCAAGATCGCGGCTCCCCCCCCCGCCCCCCAATGGGGAGATGGCCACGATCACAGTAGCGTTCGTGCAGGGAAGATGTGTGTGATCACGGGTGGGCTCCAGCAGGAAAGACGGGCGCAATTTCGGCCATTTCCCCCACCAACCAGCATGATCGCGGTCATCTCCCCCCCTCCCCCCGAGTGGGGAGATGGCCATGATCGCAGTCGCATTCGTGCAGGGAAGACATAGAGGAGTTGACGATAGAAGAACTTGCTGAACGCCAGAGTGAGCAGCAGAAGGCACTTGCTGAGGAGGATTCCACTGAGGAAGAGGAAGACAGGGAGGAGGTTAGCAGTGATGTGATACAATCCATTATGAAAAAATGGAATGAGTGCCAGGATGTCTTTGTGAAGCTCCACCCCAGCATAACTGTAACAAACAGAGTGTTGAATCTGATGAACGATAACATGGTCTCTCATTTCCAAAGGGTTATGCAGCGCAGGAAAAAACAAGTGACTAGAGACAGATTTTTCACCAACATTTATTTATTATTTAAAACATTTCTGTGCCGCCCCCATCCCAACAAAGCCTCGGGGCGGCTCACAGCATTCATAAAAAAATACAATTAATAATTTGACAACTGGTACCATCTCGGTTATATATATTAAAATCTATAAATACAATAATAATAAATTAACAGTTAAAATAACTTTAAAAAAATAAAAATAAAAACATTGACCCTGCAGCTAAGAGACAAGAGAGGAAACCCCTGAAAGACATCTCCCCAATGTCCTTATGGAGGGGAACTCCCTCAAAACAATAACCTTCCCCCCACCTAGGTTAGTGTACTATACACTACTTTATTACTTTGTTGTTCTTTGTCACTTCGTTTCAAATTTTTCTGATTAAAAAAAGTAGTTACAGAACGGATTAACCTTAATTACGTTGAACCTTATGGGGAAATTTGACTTGGGTCACAACCAATTTGGGTCTCAACCAGAGTCGTGGAACGGATTAAGTTTGTGAGCCAAGGTACCACTGTAGTTCCATTTCAATCTGTGAAATAGCAAGGTTGTTGCCACGCTTATGCTTTGCCTGGAGATACTATAAAGAACAGCAGTTGTATATATGAAACTTGCGCTTGGAAAGCACATCCCCAGCCCCTCTGTTTATAGTAATTGAATGGAGCAAAATGCATAAACCAACTCAAGGGAAATGGTTGAGCTTTAATCTGGTATGCCTGGGCTGTGTGTATTCACACCTTTAAAAGCATATGTCCAGCTAATCTAAAACTTACTTCAAAATAAACCATATTATATTACTTTTGTAATTTGTGTATTATGCTTACTTTTTGTTTTGGTAGTCCTAGAGAAAGGGTCAGAGTCTAGTTAAAAGACCTGCTCCTAATCTCTGGAAAACGTACCAAACCATTTTTGCATTCTGAGACTTCACTGGACATTGACCATGCACTGGAATGCACATTTTGCAGCTGAGAGAGCTAGACACTTGCCTTTTACAAATGGAAGCTGATCTCCTTGGGAGTTGTTCATTTTGCACTCATTCCACTTGTTGCATAAAAATATATCAGTCTGCTTTTGCTCAAAACTGTAACTATTCCCAGTAAGGACAAGCTGTGGGAAGCAGCTTCTCAACAAAGCTGAACTTCATTTGAACATTTTTTCTTGCATGGTAAGCAACAGTCAAGTTTGCTGGTTTGCTTGTGTGAGGAAAGGTTATGAAGTCAGGGCAGGCCCCACATGTCCATGCCTACACAATTTTAAAGAAATCGGCCCTACAGCATGCAAGAAAGTTCATGTGTCATGCTCTAGTTTTATTCTCTATGTCTCTTTTCAATCTCCCATAAATCACTGTTTATTTTCCTGTGGGAATTGCTGGCTCATAATGAGGTTGGCAGATTGAGAGAAGGAAATGAATTAAAAGCCGTAGGGTAGCCAAGCTAAGCCTGGCCCCTAACCATTTGGAACAGTGGCATCATATTTCTGCATACTTCAGTTACTTATTAGTTCAGCTTAAATTACAGGAGCCAAACTGCTAACACAGTTCCCAGTTTATAGGGTGAGCATAGTAGCCCAGTCTGCTGTTCTTTCTTTAGAAAATGGCAGGCATGTCAGAGTCCTTGTAAATTAAAATTGGAGGCCCAAAAGTAATAATTCCTCTTCTTCATGGTCTCTGTGTATCACACACTTGGGCTCTGTGCACATGCATGGTGCGCTTAAGCTGGATGGCTTTCAAGGTAGTGCATTAATGCTTTAATTGCAAAATTGGTTGATTTGTTTCATTTTTAATTGGAGCCTGTTCTGCTCAAAAGAGGTTCATCTCTGAAGGTATTTATTTATACACAAAAAATAACATAGCTGGTGTTGAACTACATCCATATTTCATTTCAGGAAATGTATCTACAGGTGATTTTATATCAACCATTCATTAAATATTTTCAGTACTGTTGAGATATTTCTATATTTTTATCTGTCCATTATTTAGTTATAAGGACAACATTAGAACAAATGCATTCCTTTGAAGTGAAAAATCATTATATTGATATTATTTAGTATAGGCAGCCAACAATTTTGTTTAGAAATGAACAATGTTTTACATAATTGTATATATCAATATATGTCAGAGATAAGTACTTTGATAATACAACTGTCCTTTATTATAAACCTGATGGAATATGTTAGATATGCCTCATTAGTAGAGCTGTCATCTGAATGAAAATGTTTGTCAAAAACTGGGGGTTTTAACTGGTTGATTGAGCTTGCATATGAATAACCCCAACTCTAGCTTTGAAAGAATTTACTTCATTTGTTTTTAGAATATTAACAACCCATTACTACCTTCAAAACCAACAGTAGAAACCAACCAAAGTTGCACCCAGGATTTCAATCAAAGTATTTTTTCACATTTAGAGAGACTGCAATTCCTTTAGGTTTGGTGCCTTTTCTATCTGTTTGGGATGCTTCCTGCTTGATGCTTTCTTGAGTGATAAATGGGGATGTGAGAGGCAATGTGCAGACCTAAGTTAGAGAGCTGGACTGGGACTGGGCTGGAAAAATCTCCAGCTGATCAACTCATCATAGTGGTGGCAAAGGATGTTAGCGCTTAGCTCTGCATCTTAGAACCAGGTAGGGGAAGGTGCCATTTTACATCACAAAGAGGCATCCTTGCATCACATTGGATGGGTGGCCTCTTCTCAGATGTTGCCTTCTGAATTTGGCTTTTCTTAGATTTTATATTGGGGGAGAGTATAAACATTTGCTGCCCCAATTAATTGTGGGCGGGTTTTATTGATTGAAGCCCTATGATTAATAAACAGATTCATCAACTACGTATTGTTTATTTTACTGTATTTTATTCTTTTATTTTATTTCATATTTTAATTGTTTTTAAATGGCATTTAGTTTGGTTGTAATCCACTCAGAAAATATCACTTATTGGGTGGATTAGAAGAATAGTCAATAAATCAAATAGGTTGCTGCCCTAAACATTAAAGAATGTTACCATTCCATAGAATACATATGGTACCTCTGCACCTTCTCCAAATTTTGAAGGCATTAACTCTGGCAGAGTAATATGTAAACTTCTTTAGAAAAGGGAAGTAAACAATTTGCAGTAACCCCTCATGTAGTTCCTTCTGTGTTTAAGTGCTTAGGTCAAGCCGGAAATGCCAGAGCCTCCTTTCCCAGTGTTTCTGGAAAAGCTGTGTGTGCGTGGGGGGGGGGGGGTCTGTATTGAGGAGCAGAGTCAGGAGAGTGATTAGGATATTGTGCAGAGCTACACTTTACTCAAGCTCTGCTGCACTTGCAAGTAGTTTTGACACTTTTTGATTTTATGCATGGTGAAATGTCTCAATGCTAGTCTTCTAGGTAAAATATAAAGCCACTCTTTTATGGTTGGCATGGAACATTTTCTGCACATACTACAGGGGCTTTTCCTGCTCGCGGTGCCATCCTGCATTTCTTGGTAGGCATTTAAATGGCTTTATACTTAGTAGTGTGTGAGCCACCTGTACTTCGCTTACCAACAAAATGACAATGTTGGTATTAAAGAGTAATATGAATTACCTTTTTTAAATCTGAAATGTTCATGATCCACTTTGTCAGTAGACCAACATCGCACATAAACCACAGATCACATTTTTTAAAAATAGAGGCAATAGTATACAGCAGATAAATATGAAGTAGTAAACAATGCTTTGTTTGTGCTCCTTATGTTACTACAAAATGTCATCAGTGTGGTGGAAACTGTGCAGCTTATTACTAACATGTAGAAAGTACCATTACTGTATGTGTTGCTTCACAGAGTAGCATACACAAAGCATTGCCTCAAGAAACATTATGTTTAGGGAAAGAGCTCTTTGACACAACAAAAGAAAGAGAGGAAGGCAGAGGCAAGGATAAGGTGTGCATACAAGCAAATGCAGTGATGCACACTGGGGACTCATTCTAACTGGGAATGGGGACTAAGGCATTAAGCCAAATGATGCAGAGGAGAAAGAGGAGGGGTTCTGGGTTCTCACAGCAGAACCAGCCATGTTCAGTTGTCATATTGTGTAATGCAGTCATAATGTATGGAATCAGACTTATCTAGGTAAAATCCATTTGGTGCACATACACTTCCAGACAGCACTAACCTCCAGTGTTTGATATATATTTTCAGGAGCTTACAGGAAAATTACCAAGAGAGTATCCCCTTGACCCAGGAGAAGAGCCCCCAATTGTGCGAAGAAGAATAGGTACTTCCTTTAAATTGGATGAACAGAAAATACTTCCAAAAGGAGAGGTAAGAGTTACTCTCAAGAGTTACTTTCAGATCTCACTTTCTGTGATTTTCTTACCATATTGAGCACCTTCTGTGGTAAGAGTGATCTCTTACTGCAATTGTCCTTCCTCCTAATTTAATGCCAGTCCAACTAACTGAGTAGGACTTCTGGCATTAAGATTGTGGGGCAGACTTGATTAGATGTCTGGATTTTCCTGAGGAAGATTGCAAAACATCTGCTTTCTCATGTGCAATTTGTAAACATTGGCATAATAACGCTCTTCATTGTGCTACTCTTGGTGTTCCATGATTAGTTGACTTGTCAAGACATATCCATATTTGTCCCAAATCAGGGTGCTTGGAACAGACAGAACAGCCATCAGGTCATTGAGGGGCAGTGGTTCACATAAAAGTAGCAGCTAAAAATGGACATGTGAGCTGTTTCTCAATCTTCATTTCTTTCTGGAATTATCTGTAGTGTGCAAATCTATCAGTTACATGTAGAAGTCTGCCACTGGCAACTCATGTTTCTGATTATCTGATTACATTTCAATTGGTCCAGTCCAAATTTTGTTTATCAGTCATATTAGTAACCCACGCTTCTTTCACTGAGCTTGGTTCACATGAATCGTTTTATGCTTTCCTGCAGAGTAGGGCAAGTGGAACAACAGTAATTGGCCAAGGTATGTTGTATTGGGAGCAGTGATTTCAACCCACATCTCTCCAGTTGAAATCTACTGCAGGGGTGAGAAACATGTGGCCCTCCAAATGTTTTGCCTACACGTTTCGCACCCCTGCTCCCCTGAATAAGTTGAGACTGCTAAAACAAAAGACTGAATTTCTATCGTCTTTGAAATAGCTGTTTAATTTGGTATTATATCGGATGTTCTCAGCTTATGGTATGTTTTGCTTTGTTTAGCAATAACAAAAACAGAATAGAATGGGCTAGAAGCATAATTTTTCTGTGTTTTAGTAAATGGCATGAGTATCATTCCTTCTGACTTTTCTTTATTATTGCCAAGCAAAGGCATTATACCCTCCCATCCCTTCCTAAACAATAAAAGCATCATCCCAAACCAATCTGATTCAATAGAAAGATTGGTTTGCTTTTTTAAGTTGGTTCGGTTGTACTTCCTTGTGTCAGTACTCTGAACTGTGGCTATGAAAACAAACCTGCACCAGCAGCAGAAGGACATGTCTGGATTTTAAAGAAAGGCATCAATGTCAAAGACTTACTTGACTTGAGGCACTGTTTGTGTCTGTGCACATGCACACAAATACTTATTTGTATGAAAAAGGGTTTATGTTTTTGTTACTTTTTTTGTACACAACTGTAGGATGGTGGTAAGTTTAGAAAGCAAGGGGGAGCAGGGGGGGTGCTAGGAAATAATCCATTGGTCTAAAAGATACATTTGGTTCCCTCTGCAAAACGCACATTTTAGTAAAAATATCTCCTAACAACACTTGCAGATCCCCTTGGCTCCTTTTTATTTTCTTTAAATGTTTCTATTAGAATGTTCAAATATCTAAAATAAATAAACACAAACCATTTTAGGTTTAGGTATTGCCTTTGACAGATCAGTAGGAAAGGAGGAATTTGATTCTCTTCTTTATTACCTTTGTCACTTGCAAAGTGCTTTCAGTTTTCATTGATTCTTAAACCGAAGCTGGAAAACAACTTGTTAGTATTGAAATGTTCAATCTGAAAGATGGCAGCTTCATAAATGTATGGCTCAGTTAGGTTTTGAACAGTGGGCAAAATCTAGGACTCTGTTCGCTGCAGCATACTAAACAAATTAGAATATTACCTATCATATTTTATCTTCCCTCTAAGGAATGGTATGAGGATGAAATAATCTAGTGTACAAGAACCTTTAAAATAAATGATACACAGAGAGGATAAATGCCACCAAACAAACCTCTTGGCTGGCCAGACATTTGAACACATGTCTCCTTGATCAAAGTCCAGTATTCTATCTGCCACACTACATTGGCATTTAAATTATTTTTATTCATTCTGTTTGATTGTAATTTGAGCCAAGATGACTTTTCCAACTACTGACACTAAATTAGGAATGTATGAAAATTTTAGTTCTCCCTGCAAATCATGCAAGCACACCCTATTCACAGTCCTGAATGCAAATGTAAACAGGAGTGTTTTTTTAATTTAGAAACACTTATAAATTCCTGAATTTGTGGTAGTTTTTCAGACATGCATGTGCGCGCACACATTTATCAAACTGCACTTTGAACTGTACAATGTTCAAAAAATGCGAGATTTACTTTTTAGTTAATGGGGAAATTGTGCAGTTTTGAAAAATACGTACAGATATGCTAACTCCATGTCCAAGTGAACCAAAAAAGGTCAAAAACAAAATAGGAATAAGCTTTGAAGTGGATTTCAGAGAATTTAGATGAAGTGGGAAACCACTGGTTCTCCCATTCCTGCCCTATAACCATACTTTTCCCACAGAACATCACTGAAATCATTGTACATTATCATGACTAATTTAGTCATCATTAGAAGAGACCTCAGACATACACTTAATCTACTGAAAGGGTGATTCACAATAATAAACTCGTCCTCAGTATCATGAGACAAAAAGTACATGAGTGCAACTAGTTTGCATAGTTATGAATTAGTTTAATTGTTACTGTTTTCTTCAAGGGACCTTGGGAGTTATGGTTTTGAGGCTGCTGAGAGTGCTTTGGGAGAAAGGTCCAAGAGCCCTTCACTCTACAGCTTCCAGGATACCCTAGCTGGGACCCATGAAACTGCTTACAGTTGTAGTTTAGGCAAACATGTTCAATGTCCCAAAATGCAGTGACATAATGGTGGTGAGTGTGTTTTCCAGTTAGACGTGATGCATCCGGCAGTGTGGTAAGGGATACTAATTGCTTTCCTTACAGGAGCAGTGAAAGGAAGGGTATTTGGGGTTGTTGATGAGTTACTGAATCCCAAATTAACCCAGGAAGAAGTCATAGGTTAACTTGGGTTAACTTGTGGCTGTTTAACCCATAAACAAACCCATGTGTTCCTGTTACAATTTCATGGAAAAAACCATTGACTGTAGCATTTCAGTGTTATTAATGAAAACGGAAATAACATACATACACATGGTGTGCATCCCCGCAATTCATGACTGAATTACAAGACACTGCTTTTATTCTCTAACCGGGTCATACACTTCTCAGGGAGCCACATTCAGGGAGTCGCAAGAGTTGAAGGCACAGCAAACCCAGCTTTACTTTGATTCAGTCTAGTGTAACAACCTCAATACATGAACCAAAGCTAAAACAAATATATCTGAAAGTAGCAGACTCACTTAGAGGTTCAGTTTGAGCTTTGTCTGTAGGACTATGCCATTAAAAAAATCAGAGATCAAATACATTCTTTTTAAACCATACTTTAACACAATGTTTTTAATCCTGTGCCTTTGCTGGCTCTTATCGAAATTTTCCAGGAGGATGGGAAGGGCAGGGGGATGGCAGATCAGGATCTGATTCTTAAAATGTATTTTGTTGAATGCTGATTTAATAAATTCCCTGTTGACAGAGCTTATGAAATCATCAAAGCAAAAGTTCACACACATACCAGCCATGCAATCGGTAATAATGTGAGAACTGTATTATAGATTTAAAGTGGTGCTGATTTATCACTGACAATAAAGGAGACTTTTAAGCCAAGATATCCAGAATGAATACTTCAGAGAGACATCTTGTCTTGAAGAAAGATGAAGTCACAGCACCATCAGTTTCTTTTGTGAATGCATGTGCTGGTAAATTTGAGATAGAACTTTCCTTGGAACATATGAAAGCCAGCTCTGAATATTTCAACACCCTGTAGACTGACTAATACATAGAACTCAGGGCAGACTTGATCCTTAATGGCTATTTAGGAATGGTTATTGAGGATAATGAAAAGGTTTGGCCTTCTCCTTGATGATGTCACTTAAATACGCACTTCAGTTTTCTCTGACTTCTGTGAAAAAAATTGCAGAAGAAAAGGCAGTGTTCAGGAACATCGTTCCAATATGGGCAGTGCCCTTTCTCCGTATTTTTTACTGGTTCTTTCTGACTAAGATTTCACAGAGCACATGAGAATGTCCTGCACACATACTCTGCCCCTCTCTTCATGGGAGCTGTACAGGTACAAGCCCTCCCTCTGCTCACCATCCCACTGTTGTAACAAGCATTTCGGTGAACCACAAGGTGGCTTACAGAAGACTATAGAATTCAGTACAAAGCAACCAAGTCCTCTTGATAGCATGGCAGCTAAGAGAGATGCTGGGGAAATCTCTCCCCAGAGCCTTTCCTGAGCTCTCTGGTATTCTTGCTGCTGTTGTCATTACCAGGCTTCCAATGAGCCCAGGAAATCATAGAGCCCCACAGCCTAAGTACAAATGTCTCTCAGGGCTGGAGAGGGCTAGGCTAAAAAGAATGTGGCTCCTCTCCCATCTCCCAGTGGATTAAAAAAATAAGAATAGACCACCAGATTCCTTCTTCTGAAAAGCGTGTGGGAAGGAACAAAACAGCCCCCAGGGGAGAGGCAAAGGTCTTGGAAAATACTGAAGACCAACCTGTTGATCGCTCCTGTGTTTTGTTTGTCAGTATCTGGCATTCCCCTCAGAACTGGAAACTTGCTTTAGATTCTTAGCCTGCCTGATTCTGCAGAACATTGCATGCATGGATACCTGAAATGAACGCACCTTTGGTGGGCCTGAAATTACAGAGTAGCTTGTCTTTCAGTGAACCCTTAAGACCTCAGGAACTCTGATTTTGGGGGGAAAAAGACCTGGGTATCTCAAGCTCAGGAAGGCTGTAGTTCCTAAAACTCAATGTATGTGTACTGAAATGGTGTGCCGCCTTTTCCCTCTGGTTGGATTTTCACATCATTCCAGTAACATTTTTGGATGAATCATGTGGTCAGTGAGCAATGTTGTTCTTCCCTTGGATACCACTGCTAGGATGCTGCAATATGAAGGAACTCCATGCCTTGGCCAGTTTCTTGGGGACATATGGAGCCTGCCTGCAGGCAAGCAGTTAGCATGCTTCTCACGGGTGTATATATAGCAGAGTATCAAAATGAATGCCCATCAGCTAATTTATAGAGAGAATGGAATAAGTGTTCAACAGAACCCCTTTGGATTATTTCTTTGTGTACTTTTGCCAGTGAAATCAACACAAATAGACTGCAAAAACTAAAGCTACTTTAGTAGTACCATTGTGATTTCTAGTGTTAAAAACCTGTGCTTCTTGTAGACACCTGAAGGCGTCTCTAACAGAAGTTCCATTTGCCGGTTCTGTTGGTAGAGTAACTACCCTGCACCCACAGAATTGGAGAGTCTTCTATATCGCTGATACACTAACAGCGGAAACATTTTTTTTCTTGCATAGGAAGCTGAGCTGGAACGTTTGGAGAGAGAATTTGCCATTCAGTCACAGATCACTGAAGCTGCTCGACGCCTAGCCAGCGATCCCAATGTCAGTAAGAAGCTGAAGAAACAAAGGAAAACCTCCTATCTTAATGCACTGAAGAAACTGCAGGAGATTGAAAATGCCATCAATGAGTATCGTATCAAATCTGGAAAAAAGCCAACACAAAGGGCCTCCCTGATCATAGATGGTAAATGGAACTCAAAACACGATACTGGTATCTCACTGATGGCCTGGTGGTTAGTAGGGGACAGTGGAGGTAGCGCTAAATTCTAAAGTACGGGTGGGTGTTCATCATGTCATTCCCCATAGCCACATCTCCAAGAAGAGACCAAATGTGCAAGCAGTGGTGTTGATCCTTGATCTTCACCTGGAATAGTTCTTCTGTAAAACTAACTGTGCTTAATTGTCCATTCAAGACCATGCCACTCCAAAATACTTGGGATTCATAGGACTACAGTGACTCAGTTCACTTGACACATCATGAATTCTCCTCATGTTGGGCAAGCCCAAAATACTTTCTCGGGGATTAATTGTGTGTGGGCAACAAACTATCCCAGTACATTGTGGTTTGTTCAAAGGACTGTTCTACCCAGGATGAGTTATGCCATCTGAGCCCAGACAACTGTCCTCACATGGACAGGGGAAATTGGCTAGTAAGTGGTACTGCAAGAGCAACAAAATGGGTCTACTGGTGAGTGCTAGTGCTAGCTGTTCCCAAAATGCCCAAATGGGAATTTCACTGGGAGGAGGTATTTTTTCTTAATTTATATAGATTTCTTTAAAAATGTTTCAAGCAATGTACAAAGAGGAAAATGTACCCACAGTTGTGCAATTGTGAAATTTACAACTGTGAAGGATTTGGAAAAATACTTGGTGAGAGCTGCTGTAAAAAGGCAACAGGTATCAACCCCAGAGATTGCCCAGAAGTTCTAAATACCCGCTTTTTTCATGATAGCTCTCAGAAGGTGAGCTGTGGGGAAAAAAATGAAAGGCATGCCTAAGCTTTAGCTGTGAAAAGGGTGTTTGGGGGGTTTTATAGCCTAATCACATCAAGATTCTCATTCCTCCTTTCCCACAAAGGTGCACATTTTGCACTTTGCCACAAGACTCTGTTTGCTCAAGAAATCAGAAGTGTGCATTCCCGCACTCCTTCGTCTTGGGAAAAAGGAATGTTGACTGCTAGCTATCAGAACTCTAGCTATCAAAACCCTGGGTCCCTTTAAAAAGGGGATTTTGAGTGGACAGTGGTTGGTTTTGGACTGAGACATGGTGTCTATGTGTTTTCCTTGACAACTGCCAGAAGATGTGACAGCAACCTCTGGCTTAGAAGAGATTAGATAAATTTGTGTTAGATAATCCACGTGGTGGCTAAATGAGACTTCCATGCTTAGTGGCTGCAGGAGACAAATCATGGCAGATGGCTCTTGCAAGTCGTCCTACTGCTTGTGGTCTTGCTGTTACTGGAAAAAACATGTGAGGCTAGAGGGATCTTTAGCCTGATCAAGCAGAATTTTTCTTACATTGGGTGCTGTGCAAATAATGTTGCGCTTCAGTGTTTACCTGCACAGTGACCTCTGTGGGTGTTTTCACTTCACAGATGGAAACATTGCCAGCGAGGATAGTTCCCTCTCCGATGCGCTTGTTCTAGAAGATGGTATGTAAAGTGTTCATTGAAATTGCAGTCCTTTGCTGCATTTTATGTTAATGCAGTCAACATTCACAAAAAAAGTACAGTGTCAAAAGAGTAAATACAGTATCCAAGCCGTTTTTCCCACTGGTTTCAATGAGTTTTCACTGTGCATTCTTATCCCTTCTACTGAAATCAGTGTTAGTAAATACGCTTAGCTTTCACTGAATCTGGCTGAGAGACTGCAAGAAGTTGGTTTTCCATCGCTCTTGCTTTAACGTATATTCTTGTTGAATATGCTTCTTTATTTTTTTCTCTCAGCCCATATCACTCTTTAAAAAACAATCAGCATTTCCTAGATGGAACAATGGAACAGTTCCATTTCAACTCTAACCCTAATCATTTACCATATTTCTGCTGAGGGCCACAATTCTTCAGGGGTAATTTGCCCAGCAGCAAACATTAGTGATGGGCAGGGCCAAACCAGACATTTTCTTTTCCTTTCTTGCTGTTCCTTCCTGACCAGCAGGATGCCAAGGCAGGAGCAAACTGATCTTGCTAGAGGTCTACACTGATTGCCTGCAGAAGGGTTCAAAATTTGGTTGAGGGCAATGTGACATTAGGTGGAGAGCTACATGCCATACCAAGGCTACAAATTGCCTGCTCTTGAAGAACAGAATAAAGAAGCGTCTAGAACATGACTTGAAGTGATACACCGTGTTGCCACTTCGGCTGTTCAGAAGACATTGAGGCCAGTCTAAAGATAAATGCATGGGCACTCATTGAATGGTAGGCTTTGAACAGTGGTTTGTGTAGAGAAAATTGCTCGGCAGATCTTTCAAATTAGCATCAGCCTTCTTTTAGAGGATGTGATTATTTCTGTTACACCTGCAGGCACTGGCACGAAATGTCCCCCATGAAAGATGTGACTAATACAGTGGCTTCTGTATAGGCGTGGCAAATCAAGCGATGTGGGGCAGGAAGAGTGAGCTTGGAAGCTGGTGGGGAGAGAGGAATGGAAAGAGTTGTTTCCTGCCCTGTCCCTCTTTCTCAGTCTATATAGACTTTTTCCCTTTGCTCTTTCTTTATTCTCAACCTGTAGCCTTGTTACTTATCTCTCTGCCCATTCCCTTTCTGTTTCTCTCCCTTCCCCTTCCCTAGCCTTGTACTTTCTCTCCTGCTCATCTTTTAATCTTGCTCTTTCGCTCCATCCCAGCCTCTAGCTTTGCTCTTTCTCTACTCTACTTTTAACTTGCTTTTTGTTCCTGCCAAATGAACAGCTAATTAACAGGAAGGATCAGGAACAGGAAGGAAAACCTGAAGCCCTATAATTTTTCATTTAAATATTTTTTTTTGTGGGGGAGAGGAGGGCAGAATGGGCCAGGTAATGAGGAGCTTTATAGGTGACATTGGAGATACTTGTAGGCTATATGTTAGTTAGATGCTGGATGCAGGGTTTTATAAATGATAGAAAGCAGTGATACAGAATACATGGGCGAATGTTTAGAGTCCAACAAGATAAAGTTGTCAGCCAAGATGAGGGGCTTTACTGCAATTGTCATGATCCTTTCAAATGGCCTTCATAGGGATGTCAAAGTTATCCCTCCCCTCAGAGCTTTTCAAAACAGCTGCAAAATATGACCTTTCAAATTTGATAAATGAAAGAACTGTCTTAATCTATTAGTTCACTGTAAAATTTTTGCTGTTTTATGTTTTCACTTAATTATGGTTTTACTTTCAATTTTTTATGGAATCTGCTCTGAGCATGGGGAACTTGAAGATGGGGATGATACATTCATGCCTTGCTTATGACTTCCCAGGTGACGCCACAGTGGGAAAAGAATGCTGCTTGAAATAGGCTTACAATAAAATCTAGTGAAGTTCCTCTTGTGTTCATAGGAAAGCAGACTGCTTTGAGGACAGAAAAATGGTCCAGCATTGTTTCTAGAGACGGTTATGACCAGGAGTGCCATTTCACAGTTTCAACCTGTATGTCATTTGTACCCCTTCCTGGAGAAGGCTGATCTGTCCAGTTATCCATGGTTTAATCATCTCTCATGTGGACTCCTGAAACATGCTGTACACATATTTGGAAACGCCAGTTAATGCTATATTTGCAGTGGTATATCTGCATTTTATTTATTTTCATATTGAGGTCTTTCACTGTTGTCTCACATGTGTTAAATTTTTAGCTGTGCATTTTGTAGAGCATAGATATGCTGACTTGTACAATTCCAGGCATAGTGACAGCAATAAATCAACAAATAATTAAATAGAATAGTGTACTCTTTTCTTCTAATTACAGAAGACTCTCAGGGTACCAGCACAATATCCCCGATACAGTCACCTCACAAAGGCCTCCCTCCACGCCCACCCCTGCATAATAGACCACCTCCTCCGCAGTCACTGGAGGGACTCAGACAGATGCACTATCACAGAAATGACTATGATAAGTCTCCCATCAAGCCCAAGATGTGGAGTGAGTCCTCCTTGGATGAACCCTATGAGAAGGTCAAGAAACGCTCCTCACACAGTCATTCCAGGTAAGGTAGTCATTTTTTTTTAATTTATGGAAAGCAATGAGTTTTTGTAGCAACTATGAATGCACATTGGGATGCCAGCCAGAGTCCAAAAGATATGTCCAACTTCAGGCCTTCACATGTAGACAAGCATTTCCTGAAGACATTTCTGCAGTAGCTCCCACAACTGTTAAGTATAGTCTAGTCGTCTTTCTTTTTTAAATAATGGATTACATCGAGGCTTATGTGATGGGATGGCATACAAAAATTCCAAATAAATAAATAAATACAGCTTGCTTCTGTAACCGTAGGAATAGCTGTGATGAAATCATCTGAAAAAACACTATATACAAAACACAATTGTTTCAATTAGTGTCACTTGTCCTCCATGATGACAGCTGCTATTTCCAAATAATAAAACAAAAATATTATTCATTAACTGCACAATATTTACAGCTTATTGGGCAACATTGCACAGCAACAAGCTGAAATAATCTAAACCAGGGTGGACAGAAATTAAATTTGATTCTATTAGATCTCTGTGTGATCTGCAGTAGATTGACAAGGACTGCAGCCTCCCTACAACCCCTATACACCATGCACCTTGCTGAAATGAAAAAAGATTTTGGTAACTGAGAGTTGCTTTTTGTGTGGAAGGACAGTTGTGATACACAAAACAAATTTCCTGGGCTTGTAACTTTTCAGTTCTAAGAGTATGTCTTTTGCATACTCTACCAGGCAGGGCCTGGCTTCTAGGGGGGAAAGTAGATCCTTAGAGGCTTCTATTTAAATAAACAGTTTGAAGAAATTGTTGGTGGAGGAATACAAGGCCCTCTTTCAGTACTTTCTTTTTGCTTATATGATAGTACCAGAACTATAAACTTTGCTATAAAGGGAAAGAAGAACCAGAGTAATCATGCAGAGTTAGTATGCTGATGGCTGGAATGATGAGCTGTGAGACAAGAAAGCCTATTTGAATTGCACATAAACCATGAGTACACAAGAGAGCCTTTCTCTCAGTCCACCAGCAGTGAGAATAGTAGTTCTGGCATATCTTACATGGTTACAAATAAATACTAAGCATCATTAGTGTATGCAGAGGAGGTTTTGGGTTTCTCTGAGACTGATAGGCACATGTAACAAACAAACAAAAAACACCATAATCTTATGGTCTGCATATGTAAGAATTCCAGATGAAGAGTGACTGCTCTGTGATCTTTTATATACAGCAGCCACAAGCGGTTCCCCAGCACTGGAAGCTGTGCAGAGGGTGGAGAGAGCAACTCCCTACAAAACAGCCCCATTAGGAATCTCCCCCACTGGAACTCCCAGTCCAGCATGCCATCGACACCAGATCTACGGGTACGCAGTCCACATTATGTGCATTCTACTAGGTAAGTTTCCATTCCAAGATTTCATCAGTTTCATGCCCTCTCCCACTCCTTTTGGAGATGAAGTGTACATACAAAATTCTGCTATATCTGCCAGGGACCAAGGGGCAAAAATAAATCCATTACAGTGGAGAAGTACAGTTAACATCGCTTTCCCATGTTGCTGTTACACAAGTTCTAGACAGTCTTTGGTCAACCACGATTCTTCCCCCTCCCCAAAACTTGGAACCACAGTCTTGGAAATAAATTTTTACAATTTTCACGAATCTACAGTATATCTCATCCAAAATAAAAAATGAACCTCTCTCCACAATGGATAGGAACACAGACTGCTTTCCCATTGGGAATTCATTCATTCATTTTCCCCAGAGGAGGAAGAGGTGTCTATTTTTTTATGTGGGATGAGACAGGAAGGACAAAACATTCCCTGCTCCACATCTTTACCATGTTAGAAGTCGTTCTTAATCTGCATCTGCAGCAACAATACAGGGCATTTGTGGTGTTAGGCATTTTCATACTTTGGGGTTGGGGGGATTCTACCATCTTATGATGATCAAAAGCATTGTTACACCCCTCTCTTGGCCCTAGAATACATTCTATTTCACTTGATCTCCTTCCTAGATTAATGGAATGTAACATTCTGTTAACGGAGCATCATAAGGCAGATGCTCATTATTTTACAGAAGTTAAGGATATGCCGTTCGATTCCTCCTTGCTTTCTTTGAGTGCTGAAGTGACATCTGAAAAATTCTCATTTCACAGCACAAAGATTCTAGTTAGTGGCAAACAGTCAAGCTTCCAATGAGGCAACATCAAGTCTTAACGGCTACTGAGGTTGTAAATGTGCAGTATAAAGAATTTCCAACAGCAAATACCTTCTGCCATGTCCTGTTGCATTCCTTTGCTTGTGTGACTAAAGAGGATTTCTTTCTAGAACAAGGGCCCAATGCTAGAGTATCTTGATTGGCACTTAAACATTCAGATTCCCTGTGTTAAATAATTCAGTGTGGTGTAGTGGTTAAGAGCGTGGGACTGGGACTCAGACGATCTGGGTTCGAGTCCCCGCTCAGCCATGGAGCCAACTGGGTGACTTTGGGCCAGTCACAGACTCTTAGCCCAACCTACCTCACAGGGTTGTTGTTGTGGGCATAAGATGGAGGAGGAGAGATGATGTAAGCTGCCTTGAGCCCTTTGTAGGAAAAAGGCAGGATATAAATCCATAAATAAATAAATAAAGTAAGCAGTTGATAATTAGAAATGCAGTGACTGCTAACTGCCCCCTGTTTCTTCTTCACAAAGAAATTGGTTTTATAATTTCTCATGAATTTTGGAAAATGCTGAGAATTTTACTTCGTTCAAAGACCAGTAATTTCAAAGCACATGATACAGGTTTGCCACTTACCTTCCCTGTATCTTGTGCCTCAAGGGGTTACCACATTGCAAAATACTGGTGGACAAATGGGAAGAAGAATCTGTTGCTATGCAAGAAGTCCTTGAACCAGCAGGCTTTTACATGTAATGGGCAGTTGGACACCTTACAGGAGCCTGCTTTCAGCTACAGACTGCAGCTTGGGAAGGGGGTGGAGAACTAACTTTTTTTTTTTAATTTTCTGTGTTTACAGGTCAGTGGACATCAGCCCTACGAAACTGCATAGTTTAGCACAGCACTTTAGACACAGAAGCTCCAGTTTAGAGTCCCAAGGGAAGCTTCTTGGGTCAGAAAATGAGACAGGGAGCCCTGACTTCTACACCCCCAGGACTCGTAGCAGTAACGGTTCTGACCCAATGGATGACTGCTCCTCCTGCACCAGCCATTCCAGTTCCGAACACTACTACCCAGCTCAGATGAATGCCAACTATTCCACCCTGGCTGAGGATTCCCCCTCCAAAGCTCGAGAGCGGCAGCGGCAGCGGCACAAGTCGGCAGGAAACCTTGTCTCCTCCAATTCTGGGAGCATGCCCAACTTGGCTGCCAGGAATGGGACTGGCCACCATGGAGTCTATCTGCATAGCCAGAGCCAGCCTTCATCCCAGTACAGGATCAAAGAGTACCCCCTGTACATCGAAGGGAGCTCCACGCCAGTGGTGGTGCGCAGCCTGGAGAATGACCAGGAAGGACACTACAGCGTGAAAGCACAATTTAAAACGTCCAACTCATACACGGCAGGGGGAATGTTTAAGGAGAACTGGCATGGCGACGAAGTAGACTCAGTAAGACTGACCCCCTCCCGGTCTCAAATCATAAGGACTCCCTCTTTGGGCAGAGAGGGTCACGAGAAGGGCTCAGGAAGGACAATGGTGTCCGATGAACTGAGGTTGTGGTACCAGCGGTCCACAGCCTCCCACAAAGACCACAGCCGCTTGTCGCACACAAGCTCCACTTCGTCGGATAGCAGTTCCCAGTACAGCACCTCCTCCCAAAGCACCTTTGTGGCACACAGCAGGGTAACAAGGATGCCTCCAATGTGCAAAGCAACATCAGGTGAGATTACAGTGTTTTGTGCCTACAGAGAATCCATACATACAGAGTACTAATTTCTGGGAGTGACCAGCAGGACAGTGATAAATTAATTAACCCACCATTGCCTCCTTCCACCCTTGCTGGGGGTGAGGTGTCTGCAAGATCAGCCATGTGTCTGCAAGATCTCCTGGTCATGTAAAGCAGGATGAGTCCAGTGGGCTCTGGCAAAGGAATGTCAAAAGGTATGTGAGCATTGCTCCTGAAATCTAAAGCCGGTGTGCTGTAGTAGCCAGGAAATGCTCGATCTTGCTTTTGCCACAAATGTATGAAGTGGTTGCAGGAAAGCCATCCCTCTAACATGAACATGCTTTATGGAGTAGACGAGACCGTATCTGTAAAGTACTTCAAACACTCCAAAGTAGGGGTGAACATCTTTTTTTGCCCTGGAGGACCACATGAAGCAGGAATGGTCCCTCACCAGGGCATATAACTGGATACACAATTTCCATACCCACATTAAGTATGCAAGGATGGGGATATTTATGCATCTTCCTCCACACTAAAACTATGCTCCCCCTCCCCACAACAGCAATACATTTTCATGAAAACAATCCATATATTCTTCTTGCAAAACATACTCATCATTTTTTATGGAAAATCAAAGGCATTATTGTAAATCTTCTGCTAGCTACAAGTAGCTGATGCTATTTTAAGCTAAAGACACAGTCTAGGTAGGCAACCTGGCACTTTCCAGGTGCTCCTGATTACAACTCCTATTCTCCAGCTAGCATTGACCAATGGTCAAGAAAGATGGGAATTGTACTCTAAAACATCTAGAATGTACTAGGCTGCCTAGCCTAGAGTTATTTCATGTTAATCACACCCAGCTGATGTCAGTTTCTCCTGGGTGGGGCCTCAGAACATTTGATAACTTGGTATGTATGTATTTATTTATTTAAAATATTTATATCCCACCCTATACGCAAAAGCGTCTCAGGGCAGCTTACAAAAATCAAACAATCCAATCAAAATCATTACAGTACTCAACCTGACTGATGAGCTTCAGTGGAGATTTCAGGATCAAAAAACACAATTAGAATTGGGTTTGGGATTGTTAAACTGAATCTACAGTCCTTAAGCTACGAATCTATGATTGCTTTCCTGTATGCCATTATGATAACCATCATATGTTTGCATCATCTCAATAATGATTATTCAACACAGTAAACTGAGCTGAATGGGTGAAATTAAGCTACATAATTATTCAGGAGTGCTCTCCATGTTAGTAGGTTATTTCACTCTGCAAGTATTTGCTCATCAGAATGAATCAGAACTTGAAGAATGTCAAGGGACTTGCTTTTTCAGGCCTAAATGACAAGAATGGTTAACTTAAACCTGTAGTTCAGTTTTAGTATAACAAGGAGGCTATGGTGTTTCAAGAGACTTTTTGAAGTGCTAAAATCAAGGCATGCATAGAGATTTTGCCCTGAAGGTTAAAAAAAAAAAAAAAGAGCTATTGCCTCTGAAGGTTACATATGCATAGCTAATGAGGCTACCAACCTTGCTTCAAGTTCTGGACTGTGTCCAGAGGCTGGTGCCCCTTGGATTTGAGTTACAGGAGCAGCAGCAGCAGCAGGTATACTCTGTCACAGAAATAAGTGATCTTTTTGCAGCGTGAGTACATCTGATGACTTGAAGAAACCATCCTGGGCACCAGCACAAAATGGCTTCCATAAGAATCACATCAAAGACAAGTCGAACCTGCTCAAAAGACTGGAGCTTTGAGCTCCAGTGTACTAAATAGTTCCTTTCAGCAGAGTTTTTACCACTAACAGAACCTTATTTCACAGCAGTCTCAACCTGCTGACATAGAAATGTATTAATTTTGATTAAATGGAGGGACAGGGCACCTCACTGAACACCAGTGAAGATGCCAAGCGGCACTTTGATGTCCACATTGTCTATCCTTGCTCTAGCAGCAACTGTGTCCCCTCTCTCAAAATCTTAAATATTGGAGACATTAAGGGAGTTGAAGGGGGATGTATAGCCACAGAATTATCAGCAAAATTAGGAAGAAATGCAGCCCTTCTATTTGGAATTGAGTGAATAAACGTCCCTCAGGAGGGTTAGGGAACAGACTGAAGTTACAGTGGCAGTCCATGGTGCCAGCAGTTTTGATGCTGAACTAGTTTATTCATAAGGCTGATATTATACCAAGTAAGTTACCATGCTTGGTCTTGGCTATGCATGTTCCTACTGCAGAGACGTAACAGCATTTGGCATTCCAATCTTGCTAACTCTCCATCAATTGCTTTCCAGCTGCCTTACCTCACAGTCAGAGGAGTTCGACCCCATCTAGTGAGCTAGCAGCCACGCCACCAAGCAGCCCGCATCATATCCTTGCCTGGCAGACAGGGTGAGCTTGGGAACCTACGGGAGGGGCAAACAGAAGAGGGCAATGGCTTTTCAGCAATACCAGATTCAACCCCACTTTTTGCCTTGCTGTTTAGACCACACTTATTTATGCATTCAGTAATCATAAATGTAGAATACTTTTCAAAATTCAACCTTTTGCTGTACATACCACTTGAATTTACAACTAGTGACACTAGTGTAAATTAAAGTGGTATGTACACTAAGTGTTGTGGGGTGGGGGGCAGGAACAAAGAAAACGAAGAGACACAGTGTTCTAGTTCAAATTCCTGTGGTTTGGACCTTTTTCCATAACTGACATTTTTTTATAAAGCCACAGTGTCTGCATTTGGAAGGGGTTCAGAATCATGCAAAGCACAGTGTAATTCCAAAATTTCCTGAAATGAATGGTGACATTTTAGCCACTCAACCAAGAAGTGATGATTGCGCCACAAACACCATTTTATCTGTCCTTCTTGACCTCCACATTCCATACAACATAATTTTAGAGAGCTAGATCAGCTAGTAATTTTCCACTTGACAGGAATGTATTTTTCCTCTTTCCCAAGACAACAGCTAAGATCCATTGTGACAGGACTAATGGAGCTGGATGAGGCAGGGCTTGGATTCAGATCCCTGCTCAGCTAAGCAACTTAACCCTCCACAAAAGGTTGTGAGGGTAAAATGGCATAAATATGTATTTTATCCTATACATGTATTTCAAAGGCAAAGGGCAGGCAGAAAGATGTTCAACTGAATGGTTGGAGGGGAAACTCTAAAATTTCTCAGCAAGTACTCCACAACCAAAAATACTGCCAAGAGTGGGTGCAGTAGCTAAGAGTGTGTGCTTCGTAGGTTCAAGGTTTGAATGTCATCTTTGCCTCAAAGCTGCCTAGGCAGCTTTGTCCAGGTCCCTTACTTCATGTTCTGTCTGCAAGAAGGGGCCACAATTCCCACAAGGCTGTTGGAAGGATTACTGAGACTGCTTGTGAAGTGCTTTGAACTTTGAAAGATGCTCAATAAGAGTTAGGTGGGATTTTTTTTAAAGAAAAAGCATCAGTCAAGCAGCTACTTGTATATCTGTCTATATTAAAAACACAGCAGCAATTGTATGCTTTAAAAAGCAAGTTCCTCTTTCTGAGTGCCGTGCAGCTTCTGTAGCCAAGAAATTATCTTCTTTATTTTTTCCACACAGTGTTGAAAATTCTACTTGATGTACTTCCCTGTGTCACTAACCAGCTGTGTTGTCTTTCAAGATGATTTACCAACCTATTTCTGACTGAATTAATAGGCTCTTAACTTTGTTTTGTGTCACTGCTTTGCTTTCCTTTAACATTTCCTCTCTCCTCTTCCTTTCCTTCTCTTTCCGGGCTGTCCTTTGTTCAGAGATGCGACAGACAACTCACCCACTGTGGATGAGTCTCAGTCTCCAGCTCAACAAAGCACTGATGAATAGAGGTATAGTGAGGGGATGTTTCATATTTTGAAACCCACACGCCCTCCCTCTGCTACCTTATTATGCTTGTTGCCTTTGCTTGTAGAACCCAGGGGTGGGGGCATACACTAGCACAGTATTGGAATGCGGGTTAATGATCACAGGGCTATCGAGTCACTGGGGTCAGACACAGTAGTGAGAGTGCAGTGAGCTGAAGAGCATACGCAAATCTTTTAACTGCACAGGTACAGCTCTCACAAGTGCTGCTCTTTTTAAAGAAGAGATCTCTTCAGGTTCATCCAGTTTCTGAAGGGATGCAATCTAAGCAGTCTTTATGGTGGAGAACAGGGAAATTTGGATTTGAACTTGTCTGGATGGCTAATATTTTGGACTATGGGAGAGAAGAGTCTTAGCTCACCACGGCTTGACTTTCATGGGTGCAAACTAGCTTATCTTCACATATCTCAGTTTAACTGGATTGTGCAACTTAATCCTGGAAAAGAAAAACCCCATCTCACTCTCCACAGTATCAGCTTCATGGTATATAAAGGACACTCTTCTGAACTTAGAACAACCGAGAGGGCCCTTTGTGCAGTCTGCTTACACTGCACAACCAAGTTGTGGGTTGAAGACAGCATGAAAAGAGACCTTTCAGGAGCTACTGAACTACAAGAGAAGCAGATACTGTTCTGGGATGACAGTCTTGCTGGGGGATTGGAGAGGCCTCCTCCTGTCCCCCAAGACTATCACTGTTTTCTTCCTACAGCAAGTTACAGCAGAGCAACTGCAATCTCAGTGGCAATCAGTGGGGCATGGAAGAGGCTTTCATAAGGAATCCCTTAATCTCACTGGACAAGGAAGGGAAATTTAAACTGTCTGTCCCTGCCTGCTGAGCTTATGTGCATGCACATATGTGTCCCACTGCAGCTGAGCTTGATTACAAACAAGCTTTTATGCAGCTAGCTCCAAAGTCTCTTCAGTGAACTTATATTTAGGCACTTCCTAGATTAAAAGGCAAATTAATTGAGAATTGAAACCTGTATTCTAAGCTATTGAGTTTCCCATTATGTTAAGAAAAACCTATGCTGTCTCTGAATATCTGATTTTTTTTAAAGCACAGTTTAATTATAAACACAAACCTGTAGAAAGCTGGTGGTTGTGTTATAAGCAACAAGATGAATGAGAAATGAAATGCAAGAAGCATGCATAAATGCATTATTTGTATTAAATACATACTGTTCCTACCAATTCCAGGATGATTTTTGTGAATAGATAATTATAACAATGTTGCATATGTTTAATATTTACTGCAACTGAAACCATTTGTAGTCTTTACATTTCATTTCCCTATGACCCCCATGCTTACAGTTCCTCCCCTCAGCCTGTACAACCATGTGTATATATAGCTGCCATCTTAGTAAAATACATTGTGCATCTGATGATGCAAACAGTGGCCACCAGAGCTTATAATGTAATAAATATGTTGGTCTTAAGGTGTTACAAGGCTGTTTGGTGACATTTCTGGAAAGAGAAAACCTGAAGATGTTGTCCGATTAAAGGGTTGCCTCAGCAGCACAGAGATGTGCATTGTACCTTGTTCATGGCAGGATAGCCTTGCTAGCTGGAAGCCAACAGCACAGGGTTTCTATGGCCAAAGTGTTTCTGCACAGCTCTGTTCCTACAGTAGATCTTTGCTCAGCCTGGATAAACTGCATGCTGTAGCTCATTGTGTCCCAGATGTGCCATCAGTAAGATGGCTAGCCTAAAATTGCCAAGTTTTTCTACTGGCTTTTGCTCCCATACACTTGAAAATCTAGCAAATGAAAGCTTTCCTGGGCATAGAGATGGAGCAACAGTAGCTTCAGCTAATATATTTCAGAGGTTCAGGCAGAGAGATGAATAGGGGCTACCCTAAGAGTCAGTCCTGGACAATAGTGGGACTTTTACAACTGAACCCCATGAATTGCTGGGCAGAAAAAATAGCTTACTAAAGCAGGCCAAACCATTGTTGCAATTACAGGACACTGTTTCATGCATGCTCCATTTTAGAATTCATGTGTGTCGCTTTGCATGCATTAAGTAACCTCTCTATTCCTTTCTCCTCCTTTTTCATAATCTAGGTATGCCCTTTTTGATAGCATGCAGCTATTAGCTCTGCCTGCCCTCTTCCTCCCATCTCCCCTTTTCCTCAGCTGTGGGACATTGCTGCATCTATTACAATCGTTATTGGGGTAGGGGGCAGAGAAGAGCCTTGAATGTTCTTCTGAAGCGGTTAAAAGGTGTTGTGGGAGGCAACCAAGGTGAATGGCTTGAAGAATAGGCAACTGCTAGGGTTGAGGTGGGCTTCATCCAATATGTTCATGGGCCTGCAATGATTTCCCCAGTGTTATTGCTCAAGGCCAATGCTGTCAGATCGCTTTATATAACTCAAAAGGCATTTTGCATCTTGGGCTATGTCTCTTTCATGTCCTCAACTCAAGAGCTGGACTATCTCCCTACATTCCTTGTTCATAATTATGTTTAGAGAAGCTAGAGAACTTTTCTTAAAATGTGGGGCTGCCCAACCTCTGTACTGAGAGAAATGTAGGCTGCAATTCTAAAAAACGCATCCAAGAAAATTATGTCTCACTATATTCAGTACGGTTTATCAAGCTGGCAGAGCAATTAGAAATGAAAAGGACTAAGGACATATCCAAATCCACTTGGTTTCAATGAAGATTGGGGTCATTTGCCTGAAGTAAAATCTTTGGGCGCATTGCTTTGGAAAAATTGCCAAATAGCTATTTACATTGCTGGACTACAGAATACCACCATCATCATCCTTCCACTGTGCCAAACTAAGCAGACGTTACAAGGCTACCATTGGGAAGATATTCTAACAATACACAAAGGCAATGGGAAAGAATTGGTTTAGTTCCTAAATCCTGGCCACCTAGTCTGTATGCAGTTATAGGTACACTATCTCTGTGAAAAATTCTAATGAGTTTCTATCCCCTCTCTCTTTAGGAGCTACAATGACAGCTGTTACCTGGATTCTCCCCTCTATCCTGAACTAGCTGATGTCCAGTGGTATGGACAGGAGAAAGCCAAACCTGGAACTCTAGTATGAATCTCCTTGACCTCGGCCGTACAAACACATCAATGCCATTCTGAAATCACCTCACTGCCTCTCATTTGCCTTACCCAGGATGCACTGGTGCTTGACACCAGCTTCATGTCAAAGCACTTTTCTCATAAGGCAGTTGAAGATATTGTGAAAACAACAGCTCCATGGCAGATCTCTGCCCAGTCAGTAGTAAAAAGTCTTCGGCCCCAGTTTCTGCAGACTGCCCCACAGAGCACAGCCAAGAGAAGAGGACAAATGTATAACACAGTACACAGTCAACACAAACTATTTGTTGCATAATTTTGTTCTTTGATATGTAAAACTAACCCACCAGATGATTTGATCTTAACAGTGTAAGTGCTACAGATGGTGTAACAGTTATTGTGAAATACCTGTTTCCTGACAGAAAAAAGGACTGGGGGGAGAGAGCACAGCAGTGGCATTTTAAAAATGGACCGGCATGTGGTGATTTGTTCTATGCTTCCAAAAACTGCTGTAACTGCCAGTTATGAAGCATTTACCTAACACCATCCTGTTTTCCAGAAATAGAGTCCTAGTATTCTGTAAACCATTCTCCATCTTCTTCATCCTGATGCCATCAAACGCAATGTAATCTCAGCAGTGGTACAGATTCCACACAAACTTGGCAGGTACCAGTTGAGAAAAGCCACTGAGATGAACAAGATGGTACACAAGGGCATCAGCAAGAACAAGGGCAAGAAACTGCTGCTTTTAACATTCCTGTGACTAGTTGCAAGCAAAAGCACCAGTAACATAAGAACTTCTGTGATCTGTTTGCAAAATAAAATGCCAAAAAACTTTAAGATTTAAACAAAATCAATCACTGTAGAAGAAAGTGTGCCAAATCATGGAAAAACACACCGTGATCTAGTAAACTTAATTTTAAAATAAATTAAAAGTAGTGTAGCAAAGGCCTTATTTGACTGGCTAGGGAATTGTACAGTGCTTTAAATAGGAGGGCTTTGACAGTGTTGTCTCTTTACCAGCAGATTAGATCACTTTCCTCAATGTACTAAAATTAAGCATTCAGATGTTAAAGAATTTTTTTCCATTTGCTACAAAGCATTGTTCACTACCAGTACCAAAACAGAAGAAACTACAAGTTTATCTGAACACTTGAGCAGTGCTTTTTATACAAGTCTACAAAGCCATCGCACTTCGAAAAGGCCTCAATGCTTTAATTACTTAATGCACAACCTCTAGGCTCTTGAGCAAAAACTGGGTAAGCTGGAGGACTACTTTTAAAAAAGGATGGCTGAGGGGTGAGCCAAGGAGTGACAATTGCCCTCACATGCCAACGGATCTGCTGACAAGTCCCACTGCCACAACCGCCAGCACTTTCACACTCCTGTTTTGCCTCTGGACTGCACATAGTGAGGGTCAGAAGGTACCATTCCTAATTCACCAGTTGCTCATCATTAACCTAGGCAGATGTGGGGCAGACACAAGGAAATTGTGCTCTGCTGTTTTTATGCCACTGGAGGACCTAGTATTTTGTGCCTCTCCCCCAATTTGTGTTTGTCTACATGCAGGGACAGCAACAAACCGAAAGACTCCAAACAGCAAGGAACTGAAGTCAACTTCAGCTTCATTTTTTAAAAAATCTGTGTACATGTTCCAACGGACAAGTAGATGCTGCTAATGCCAGGAAGACTAAAATCACTAAAATCCTACAAATGCAGCTTTTAAAACTGCTGCCCTTTTGAAAAAGAGGTGCTGGAAGGTTTTCCAGTATAAATCTTGGTGAGGCACTGCTGTCTAAAAGCAGACAGAGAAAAAACAGTTAACATAGGCAAGAGAGATGGCATTACTCAGCAGAAGAGCATTTAGCTGATCCAAGATACTTCTTTTTTCTATCATATTGATTGGCAAGATGTTATGTGAGACATCTCCATCCTAAGCATTTACAGAGTAGAAAAAATATTTTGCTACGAAATCAAAGACGGAACCGATATGACAACAATTTTGTACAATGCCTACAGTTCTTCACAAAGTTAGGATTCTGAAATCAGTTAAATTTAAGCATCTTAACTCTGTTCTGACTTACACCAGATGTTTTGAACCATCCTCTCAATGTCAGCTTTTTGGAATGAAGAATAAGTAATGAAGTTTACAAGACTGAATGTAAAGATCATTTGATGTTTTATCAGAAAAATACCACAATGTTAAAACATTTTCTTACATATCCACCCACTCACACACCACCACCACAACCCCATTTTCTTGTGGGTTATAGCACCCTCTACTGGCAACATACTGGTGGTTTCCAGCACAAATGATATCTAGTTAGGCATCTCTTTGAACATTTTTATGCTACAGACTTAAACTGATTTAACAGTCCAAGGAACTATAGTTCTCAGGTTAGTGGGGAGAAGGGAGTGTCATTTAATTCTCAGACCCTTCACCAGTCTACAATTCCCAGAATTTTGGAGGAAGCCATGACAGTTTTAAGTGCTGTAAATCATAGTGCAAGTATACTACTTTTTAGATTACCTACAACTACAGAAGACTCAATTTGTATTTGAAAGTCAGGATTACAACTGTTACATTTAGGAAACAGTTTCTTGGAAAGGAAAAACAGCAACAGAAAACAGGTTAGATCCATTCTTCAACACTATTAGAACTCATTGGGTCTTAATTAGGACTAACATCCTGTTGATTTTAAAGGGTCTACATTAAGCATGACTAAGGACAGAGCCAACCACCTAACATTCTAGTCCAACTAGAGAGGTCATATGTGGCTAACTTGTTCCATTGCATCGATAGGACTCGGTTATACCTAAAAGTCATTGGATTGGGGCTTCTCTCTTCCCCAGGCAGTTTGGATATGTAATGACGTACCCATATTATCTATCTATTGCATCCTAATAGGACATGGCATGTTATTAGCAGAAATGCAGGCATCCCCAAGTTAATAATCTTTAGACTCAAATTTGCAAAGAGTTAAATAAAGCAAACACATTCTTAAACCTGTCTTGAAAACATTCTACAGGAGGGTGGGGAAAAGTGTTTCTTGTTTGTGGGATAGTGGGGTGATTTTTTGTTTTTTCAATCAAGGCACTTGTGAGCCAGTCTGGTAGTAAAGACAGAAAATAAGTAAAACAGGTTTTACTGTTTAACTCAATTCAGTTATACAAAAATGTACATAAAATGTTAATCAGAAGATTAACGTGTCTTAAGTATAACGTGAAGGGGTAAAACATAGCTATAGTATACAAGCACTTGACTACCCCATTAATAAATCCCTTGAATTTTGCTTTTATATACATAAAGATCGTCCCTGGTCTGATAATTGCATTTTGTCTGTATGTACAAGCTTCCCCCCTGTCTAGCTTGTATATGCATAAACCATATGACATGGTGGACAGGGTTTATTTTTAAATGATATTATATGCAGTTGAGTGTTGAAAATGTTGGGAAAGAAAAAAAAGGTTCAGTTTGCTTTGGTTTTCCATCCAGTATTAGTTTTTAGTTTTGGACATAGCAAACCCTATTCAGGTGCTATCAGATGACCAGTTACTGCTTAGTTAACTAGATGTAAAGTTTTACATATATATATATATGTATGTCAATAGTTTTATTACAAGTTGTGCAAAATGGACTTTAGTTTAAAATAAAAATTAGAACCCTTCTGAAAATGACTAGAGCATGTAAAATGATTTTACTGAATCCTGTGCAACAGTAATCAAGGGGAAGGAAAGATGTTATGTTGTAGAAAAGTTGCAGAAATTTTTTTAAAAATCTGCTTTTAATTTATTCTTTTTGTATTAAGAATTTGTATAGTTACCTTTACATTTTGCAAAAACAGTGTTGTCAACACTTCCTTATTAAAGCATTTTCAAGATGAAATTCTGATGGTAAACTGTTTTTTCATATCTAATCTCTTAGGGGTGTCTATACAAAATTGTATATACATCACCTAGCTTGCATTAAGTATTTCCAAGTTTTGGGCCAGTATTTGCAGCACACCACAGTCACCCTTTACTTGAGCATGCAGGAAAGCCAGCAGGTGAGAACAAAGCTCAAGAGAGTGGCCTAAACTAGAACACTACAGAACAAGATTATTTTGCCATTTCTTCCTGCTCATACAATGCATTTGCAACACCCCGTCCAGCCTGTCATATGATACAAGGTTGTTTATCAAGACTGAAGAGAAATCCTTCAAAATGATCCTGCTCAAAGTGAAAACAGTTTGGTTACATTCAACAGCTGGTGATGGTTATCCAGGCCCCTCCCCACATGTAGACCAACAGGACATCCTTACTCTGAACTTGCCATTTTAAAAAAGGATATAGTTAAGTATTTGAACACAAGTTTGCATCTGCATTTCAGGTCAAGCACAGCAGCAGAGAGCCTTCCTCAAGCCAAGGATGAAAAATTTGTGGCTGTAGCAGCATTTCCATAGTGATGTTCTAGAGGCTATAGATGCTCCCACATTCAGGACAGCAGGGAGCCCTCACATAATGGCAGACCATGAGAATGTGCTGAAGTTTCTACTTTTCCAATAAGGTACCATTTCATAGATTGAGAGAGGGGTAACATTATTCCATTGGAATATATTCTCATTTTAAGGACTGCCAATCTGGAAACTGAGCAGCCATAACAACCAGCTTTCAACATGCAACAATTTTCCTATTGCCTTCCAGTACACCCTGTATATTTGTTACTGCATTTCACTTAGAACCAAAAACCTCTACTTAGAATGTCCCTTGAAGAAACAAAGTCACATGTGTTTACAACTAGCTAGTCATCTCACTTGTGGGAGGTGAAATATCAACCAATGAGAGCAGAAATCCCCAAAAGACTTTTTTAAAGATGATAATCTTTAAATCACTCTATTGCCTTGTTCCTTCAGAAGAAAATTATAGTCCTTGTAAATCACAGAAAAGTTTCTAAATTATTTAGAGAACTGGCCAAGGTATAGGATAGGATCCAGAAACCACTAATGAAAGGCTGTGGAAGTGATAAATACAAAATAATTTATAACTCGCTACTTTTTCTTAGCGCCATTTTCATTTCTATTCCCACATATGCTCACAATGGATCAACTACAGTCCTGCCTTGTACTGGCCTCACTTTTTTCCCCAGCCTCATCCATGGCAACAACAAAAAGGCTCTTCTTATTTGCTATTTCAACCATGAGTTGATGGTTCTGTTCCTCTTCTCCCTGTGCATTAAAAGCATTGGACTAACAATGTTTTAAGAAACAAAATTTTAAAACTCAGTAATATAGGACAATAAACCACTTGCCACACTGGGGCTGGCAAAATTCTTCTGCATGATGGAACCCTTCCACATTTATCTCCCTTTTCCTTGCATCCCCACATACCTTGGAAGTAACCCACAGTCCCAAGAATAAGCCCCTAAATCTAGCCTTTTTGTAGGCTCACAAGTGCAAGTCTTATTGTCTTGCCATGACAACTTCCATTTCAAACTTCTTGGTGATACAAACATTCCACTCAGGATTTTCTATCTTGCTAGTTGGAGACTCATTAAGTAAAAAGCCTCCACCTTTCAATGAAAAAGTTGCCATGGCAGCATCTGCCATATAATCATTTTGTCATCATGGTGCCTAGTGGCTAAAAGGAGTGGAACTGGATTAAAATACTAATCCTATTTTTTTAAGCAAAAAGTGTTGACTTGAATGTTTTTTCACAGCTTCCTAGCAATGAAATTATTCTGAAGCGGTCTGGTGTTTTTAGCATTCATAAAGTGCAACAGGGACCAAGCTTAAGGGGAAAAAGTTGGTTTCAATGAAATGCAAAAATGGGTGCGTAAAACTTCCAGAAGTTTGCTGTATGAACCAAAAACTGTTCAACACTGGATACTGCTGAAGACCTTGAATGAAAGACTATTCTTGAAATATCATTATTCATAGGTCAACGATTCTATACATGATGTAATTAAACACGGACTATGCTATGTTCCAGTCTACCCATTAACATAGCCTCAAGTATCTCAAAGGGGTCCCACATAATACTGCCCTAGCACACCAGCCTGTCCCACAAAATTAAACCAAAGAATGCCAGATGTCCATGAGATCAAAGCATCCAACCACACAAGGAGACAGCCTGCCACATCTCTGAATGCTGTAGCCTCGTCTTTTTCCAACCTGCCTCTAGTTAAGGGCAGGCAATTCAGCTGTGCCTCTGTGTCAGGTGTGATCCCGTTGTTGAATCCTCTCAAAGGGACACAGAAGACTTACCTGAATTCAGATGAGGCAGTCCAATGTACCTCTGCATTAATGCTCCAGATGCACTTCCTGTAATCTTCCAATTAGCAATCTGTGCAGCAATGTGAGAGGGCTCCTTAGAGGGCAACAATTCTTAATTTTACATTATTAAAAGTAACCCATTTGAGCTCTAAGTGTGAAATTTCTTTCTATTTTAAAGTTAATTACAAAGATTAATAATATATATGTATTGTATCCATCACTGAGGTTTACAACAATTGAAGTTATAATAGTAAAAAAGACCAACAATTAGGGGGAAAAAGCTGAGGTCATAAAAGAAACTTTATAGACCACAGCATATATATTCTGGCAAATCTACATTCTTTAGTAATTTGCTACTGATCTGTTTAGCTTGATCATCTGCATGTTCATTACAGATGCCAAGTAACAGCTGGCATTGTGTCCAATGACACCACTAACCATGCAAACATTGGATCAGCTTCCTAAAACCATCAATATGGTTGTTCAACATACCCACTGTTTGTATTTGCTGCTGTATTTTCATGTTTCTCTCTGCAATTTCTCAAGATTAACATTTTATGCAAGTTTAATAGGAATTGGATATGGGTGGCTCTCCAGATGTTCTTGGACCCAGTGCCCAAAGTTCTTGACCACTTTGTAACTGGGGTTGGTGGCATCTGGAGTTCAACAAGAACTGGAAAGCCTTCATCCTTGGACTGAAAATACAAAACAAATACGAATCAACATGAATGATCATGACCGACTAAACCATAAATCATGCCCAAAGATTTAAACTCATTTGGATTTTTTTAAAAATGTGGACACCAGTATAAAACAGATACTATAGGAGTCTGGCTAGTCACAAAGGAGAGATAACTTGCTCAAGAACTTGGATACAAGGCAGATATTGGGCAGGTTTGCATGTCACATCAAGCCCTCCTGCAAATAAGCTATAATGGACTACTTATGACAACCCACAGTGTACCTAACATATTATCAGAATCACTGTCAGTTGTTCTTTTCATCAGTCATCCAGCCAGCTCTGTCATGTTTGCCACTATCCTTTGCAGCAGAACCTGTCTTATCTCCCCCTTCCAACTCTGCTACCCTTTGAAGCTTTTATTCAGAGCCTCCAAGAGCCATTTTTTCAGCCCTGGATGATGATAATGTCGTCTTGCCTGTTTAATTTCCTTGTCTGTTTCGGTTGTCTAATAGAAGATGAGACTACACAACATAAGCCAATTTCTGCACAGTCCCCAGGGACCAAGCACCTAGCTGCGAAAGGAAAAATATTGATCAAAGGAAAAAAAACTGAGAAAAAAGTTGTACCAAAAGGGTGGTCACATTTTCACTCCTTCGGGAATGCAATCCTCTTGATTTTTAGTGCTGAACTGGCATCTCCACCTTTTCAATATTTCCCCCAGACTGCAGCTAATCCAGAAAGGGCAGATACGTATCAACCCTCACCTTGCATTTTCAGTGCAGTTCTCACAATTCTTCCTTCCATTTACCTTCCAGCCATTAAATTTGTATACATTTCTGCAAGGAGTTTTAAACTGTCAGGTAACAGCAATCACTGCAACAGGAAGGGCTTGGAAAAGGAGCCACATTAAGGAAGGGTGTGGGGGGGAGAGGGAGTAATAGTGCTCCTTTATGCCTCCCCTTCTGTCAGTTCTTAGACGTAGCCTCCATAGAGCAGAGTGTTGCTATTAATGACTCAATAATTGCTGTTACTAAACCACAAGAGTATGATGAGAAGCAAATTGATGGCCTCTACTACCTATCTTACTCCAGAGCCTGGAATAAGGTGGAGACATGTCCTCTTATTACTATTAAAATAATAAGGGGCTTCTTCTTAATTAATTAAAGAATTAACTTGCAAGTTATTTTTCTTTACTGTAACAGAAATGTTCTTCAGACATAAAACAGTAAGGCAACATTTTATAAATTAGGAAAGTTTACACCAGTAAAGCACAGTAAAACACCACACTGGTCTAGTTGTGTACACCCAAATGCTCACATGGCAGATTTTGGAAATATGGCTGATCCTAGCAAAGGTGTGATTGAAGTGATAAGCTATAAAAACAAGTTTAGCTTTAAAAAAAGGAGGGGCTAAAACAAATATCAAAGATGAGACATTTCACAGCACCTCATTCACACATTAGAGCAAACCAGCAATTCTGGCTTAACAAAGCACAACACACAGGAGTAGTGAGCTCATGTGCACAGCCCACTGGCTCCCACTTAGCCTTGCCGTTGCACAACCTGGAAGGACCAACTTAAACCAGAGCTTAAGCCTGTCTTATCCTGATGTATTTGTATCTCTTGAGGCATATTCCAAGGCTGACATGTTGAATGAAACTATCCCTTTCCTACTTTATCTGCTTGGGGACTCACACAAGCTGCATGTCCCAGAAAGCTGCTCGTTCACATATGGCAATTGGGTCCCATTCTTGGAAATGTATTTTCCCTCAACAGTACAAGATAATCTGCAGGTTCTTCAAAGCACAAATGATTGCAACCTGTTCAAATGAGCCCCAATGAAATGGCTTGCTTTTCTCCTCACATCCCACCCACTCCAAGTCCTAAATATAAAGTTCTCGTAACGAGTGTTCTCTTCTCTCACAGTCCAGGTACCCAAGAGCAGAAACCAATGGTCACAATGCATTGTACTCCACACATTTGGAGGGGTCTGTAGGGAAGTGTTTTTGACAAATTGTCATGAGCCTCTTCAAACCCTAGGAAGAAAAAGACAAAACAGAATGTGGTAACATATCCCAGCTATCCAGACAAAGTACAGGACGAAAGCACAAGAACTGCAGCTGCTAGATAAAGCATAGCAGGTCCAAAGCTGAAACTTTAAGGTAGAAGTTTGGCCCCAAGGGCCAAATTCCATTTTAGTAAAGTTCTCAGGGCTGCATTCCAGTTGTAGGTGGGGCCAAAGACAAAAAGAATGGGGACAAAAATAGAAAAAATACCAGCAAGTTGTACTGTAAAACACTTATCACCAGTAATTAAACCTCAGAAAGGGTGCTTCAACCATTTTGAATGAGAGAAGGGGACTGACCAAGAGATGAGAAAGCACTGAGCAAGTGATAGGGTAAAAGGGATGGCACTGGGGAAGGGGTTGTGATTATATGGGGATGTCTATAGGATTGAACTGAGATGCCTAGTGGGCCAGATGTGGCCCCTGGGCATAAGTTTCCTTAGTGGTCTTAAGGTGTGAGTCAAGATCAAAGTGAGTCTCCAGACAATGAACTACCATTATGTTTATCTTACTTGGATGTATTTCCTCTGGGTTTCATCATTTAGAACATGAGCCACATGCTTTGAGAAAATCTTCTCTCGACCAGTTCGGGCATGGATGCCAACCATGGTGACACCAATAGGCCAAGGGGCATTTCCTATGGCCATCTGAAGATAAGCATCATTAGCCTGCAGAAAGAAAGAATGGCCAGTAACTGATACACAGAATGAACTGTGTCAGCCATATGAGTGTTCTGATCTTCAGAGTTAACTTACCCGTTTGGGGGTCCACAGACCTAAGAACACTGCTGGCCCTCTTCTTACAAGCTTACTCATCATGTAGCTTCACATTAATTGTGACTTTTCTGCACCCACCCCCTTTCACATTTGACATTGCAACCAAACCAGCCTGTCAAGAAATGCTAAAAATTCTACTCTCATATATTTCAGAGTGCATATCCCCAAGAACATCCATTAAAATACAAGCCTTCAGGTGGAATTTGTTTGGATAAAGCCCAGCTTTTAATTCACCCTAACTAAACTGTCAGCAAGCCAGCACCACATCTTGAACCCAACAGTTAGCCATTCCAGTCTAGGGAACCTTACGATGCAAGTGGGTTCCCTCAGCTCTGTGGCTAAGGTCTGAATGGCTTGGTATGCCTGAGTATGTGTCTGTAATGCTGGTTGGTTATCAGAACTAAAATAGTGCTCTGAAGTTAACTTTGGTGAAGCGTTCGAATACCTTGGCCCAACAATACAGATACAGAACATGAATGTCATGGACTCTTAAAAGTGCACCATACCTTCACATACTCTCTTTGTAGCATAAACTTGATAATATCAGTTATTGATTCCTTGATGTCTGCAGGAAGGGTCTAAAAAGAACGACACAAACCAAAGAGCACATGAAAAGGTGAGATAAACCAACTCCCATCAACCCCTTTGGTGAGCATGGCCAACAATCAGGTCTGAGAAACCAGGGACATCTGCAGGGCCAAAGCTTCCCTTATTTAGCAAATGGAAAAGCAAACTAACCAGCCTCAAAGTCCAGCCCCTTATTTGTGCATGAGCTACTGTCCCCACCTCCCGGGCAACGTCGGAGCAGCCAGTTACTTTGATCTACAAGAGGCAGCCTCCTCAAAGAGCAGGAAAGGGTTGCTGCAATGGAAGTGACAGAAGGATCCACAAACACCTATGGTACACACACAGAAAATCCCTAGAGGATGGCTGGAACGCAGTAATCATGCAGAGACAGATCAGGTAGCCTCTGAAAGCCTGAGCTGAGTGGTTTTATAGAGGCTGGCCCTTCCATGTTTGGCTTGATTCTTTTCAGCTGTTCCTGGTCCCTGACACTGCTGCCTCAACTGCCCGGGTGATGTGCACAGCTCTGCTCTTCCACAATCTATTATAAAAGGCTGCTTTTCCTTTAAGGAATGTAGAAGGACATGAATAGCACAAATAGCCAGATCCCTGATTTTCCATTCTTAGATTAGCACTACGTTGAGCACACTCATGGCTTCTCTGCTCTGTCTTTTAAGGGAAAAAACAAGTAATAGTTAACACTATGAAGCCCCTGCCTCCTGGTTTCCACAGAGCATTACTGAAGAGGAAAAGGTGTTGTTTGCCACTCAGCGTTCACTCAGGGCAACTGCTAAACTAGCCAGGCAAATAAAAGGACAGATTCAGGGCATTCCACTCAACCACTGGTTTGAGTGACAAGGTATCTGGATTTGACTCCAAGCGTCAGAGGTTCAAATCTCTTGTATGGATTCCACAGGGGTCCTCAAACTTTTTGAACAGGGGGCCAGTTGAAAGGCTGCGGTGACCATTGCGGGGTGGTGAGGTGGGGGTGTGCCTGGGGCTGCGGGCCAGTGAGGTACCGTCAGGCACGCGCAAGGCGGCATCGGGCGCGTGCAGCAGTGGCTCGCTCGCTCGATCTCCCCCAGCAAGTCCAAAATCATCTCCGAGCGAGCGAGCAAGCAAGCGAGCCACCACCTCCCTACCCGCACTACGAGACAGCGGTGAGCATGCACGTATGGGAGGCAGGTGGCAGCGGTGGCTTGCTCGCTCGGAGACCGTATCTAAGCGTGCGCGTGCAGGAGGCAGGCGGTGGTGGCTTGCTCACTCAGAGACCATCTCCGAGAGAGCAAGCCACCACCTCCCCACCCTTGCACCAAGCACACGCGCAGGTGGGGAACGGTGGCACGGGCAGGATGGAAGGCCACGGCTGGCCGGATCCGTCCTGTGGGCCATAGTTTGAGAACCCATGCACTAGAGTCATGGCACACCAGCTTTTGTTCCTATCTCCAAAATGGAAATTATAACCATGATCTTGCAGGCAGGGTTATTTTAAAGGTATAAACAATAAAGAATATAAAGAAACAGCCAAATTAAAAGAGCCAAAACAGTATATCTGAAGTAGTACTATCCAGGAACAGTTTTACCACAGGACTGAACAAACTAGCTATGTCAGTTTCACCCGCTCTGTCTGTGCCAAAGGAAAAACATTGTTATAATCATTGCATCGTTAGAAAAAGATTACAGAGAAGGAAAATATTGCTGATGTTACCCTTTTCCGCAGTTTTCTGAACAGAGGCCTCAGATATGATTCCGTCTGCTTCTGCGTGGCACTGTTCAGCTTTCCCTGTACACCACGTTTCAAATAATCTTCTCGAGCATTCAGCTCCTTAGCCCAGACTCCAAGAAGGAACTGAAAATGGCAATCAAGTTTAGGCCATACTGCCACAGTGTGGCTAAACATGAACAATATCCTTACATGAAAGCTGCAATCCTATGTGTTTACTTGGGAGTAAGCTATATTAAAATTCTATGGGAGTTATTTCTGAGTACATATCCATGTGGTTGAGCTGCAAGTCTTGAATAAGCAAAGCTATAAATAAGCCGAAGCCCTTCTTCCTTCCAAGTAATACAGTGGTACCTCGGCTCATGAACCCCTCAGTTTACAACCAAATTGGTTCACAAACAAAAATTTCATAAAAATTTTGACTCAGGTCGCGAACTCCGCATTGGGTCGCGACTGCGATTGCAGCCATCTCCCCACTCTCCCGAGTGAGGAGATGGCCGCGATCGTGCCCGTCTTTCCTGCAGGAGCGCAACCACGATCTTGGCCATCTCCCCTCCAGCACGATCGTGCCCATCTCCCCCTCCCTGAGCGTGCCCGCAATCGCACCCATCTCTCCCCCCCCCCAGCACGCCAGGATGACTGGTGCGTGCAGGGATGATGGGCGCGATTGCGGTTGTGCTGGGGGGGGAGGGGAGATGGCCGCATTCGTGCTCAGGGTGAGGGGGGAGAGATGGCTGCGATCTTTGTTCTTTGCAACTTTGCTTTACATTTTTGATTTAAAAAATAGTTACAGAACAGATTAACCTTATTTACATTGAACCTTATGGGGAAATTTAACTTGGCTCACGACCAATTTGGCTCATGACCAGAGTCCTGGAACAGATTAAGTTCGTGAGCCAAGGTACCACTGTATCGACTGGAGTTTCTATTAGTCCCATCTAATGCCAATAGCAAGATACTAATAACAGTAACATAGCATTTTTATAACATTTTCAGAATTTGTTCAAAGAACCTGTTCTACATTATATCAGGATTCTCCACAACAGCCCTTCACTGAAGTTTACTGTTATACTTCCCACATTGCAAATAAGGAGAAACAAACAGGTTGCTATTGGGCGAATTCCTGGTTCAAATTTGACCCCAGCCATGGAAGCATTGTATCCATGAGGCTGTGTCTGTGCACGGCCCAGCCTCTCAGCAAAATGGAAAAGCTACAAGGTACTATGTTACTGAAGATCAGGGCAGCAGTCAGCTCCAGTATGTGGGCTTGGGCATCATCACAGTTCAGCAGGGACCTCAAGCTCAAAGCAAAGCACAGGAGTATTTCCAGGGAATGGACAGCGGTCAATCTTTATGCCTTTCCCAGCTGCAGTGTCTCCTTTGCAACCCTCTCTCCCTGCTTGACCAGAAAGCCCTAAGTCAGGGCCAGGCTAGAGGTGTGGGCAAGCGAGAGGCTGCAAGGGGCAGGCGCTAGTTTTCCCTTGTTCGTGCTCCTGCTTTGTAAATGGAGGTAAAAGCTGAGATGGGGGGTGGGGGGGGAAGTACCCTGCATTTGCAACTGAATGGTTAGTTCTAGTCAGTTATCAAAAGATACAGGATTCCCCTTTGGACTACCTAGCTCCAGATTTTCAGATTTAAGAAAAATTCTTCATGACCACACAGACTACTAAATATGTGATTTGGATGTTTTACTCTTGATGACCTGGCTTAGGTCTCTTATTAGGAATTTCTGCACAGATAAGTTATTTTGTCTATTATTAAGTGACTGCAGGTGGCGCAGTGGTTTAAACCGCTGTGCTGCTGGGCTGGTTGATCGAAAGATCACCGGTTCGAATCTGCACAATGGGGTGAGTTCCCGTTGCTCCGTCCCAGCTCCTGCCAACCTTGCAGTTCGAAAGTATGCAAATGCAAGTAGACAAAAAGGTACCACTTCAGTAGGCAGGTAACAGCGTTCTGTGCACTTCAGTGTTTAGTCATGTTGGCCACATGACCACGGAGACTGTCTGTGGACCAATGCTGGCTCCCTTGGCTAGGAAACAGAGATTACCACCGCCCCCAAGAGTCAGACATGACTGGATGTAATGTCAAAGGGAAACCTTTACCTGTTAAGTTATTTTAAAACATAGCTGGAAAGGAAGTGTCAAGTTAATTCTAACAAATTAAGGTCTGGTCAGCAGAAAAAAATATTTGCTTTAGAACACCATCTATTTCTGCTGATACTTCAGAGGTTCTTCTCTTAAGACTTTTTACCTTCAAGAATTTGGTTATGATGTCCATGTCTTTATGATCATCACCCTGTCCTAAAGATTCTCCCAAAGCCTAGAAAATAAAGAAAAAAGGTGCCTTTATTCATTCGCCTTTCCCACAACAAAAGTTGATCCAAGTTTGCTTCAATTCAGGACCACTATAGATATGCTTTAATTCAGCAGTTTGTCAGGGGAAGAAGTGTGGGGCCCTCCAAATGAATCTGGGCTGTCTACTCCCATTTGCCTAAACCAGCAGAACCTATGGTGAGAGTTGATAAGAGTTGCAGTCAAACATCTGAAGAACCACACAATCCGTATCCTGAGGTACATATACACTCAAAAGCATGGCTGAACAGCTCTCTCTCTTTTAAGTTACATAGGCCAAGATGAAAAGAGTGAACTGAGATACAAATGCTTGCATGTGTCACATGGAAACTGTGATTTGTTCCACCAGAAAAGAAAAATTTCCCAGTTCTCTGAGAGGGACAGACACAGCTGTCTCAGGAGATTCATTATCTACCTTGAGCATCCAAGATGTGATAGGCTGCCAAGATTTTTTTTTTAAACTTTCTAACTACCATCCATTCTTGCTGATCTACCTGGAAAGAAATGACAGAGACAAAAGAAATCTTGACAAACCCTCCAAAGGCTGTTAATGTTCTAGGAAGGAAAAAGCAAAGGACTTGTGGATGCAGCTGACATTGTCCTTGCTCATTACTACTGAAGGTCAGAATGTCAGAAGAGAAAGTAAGTGAACATCAGGCTACACAAATGGTATCACTGGGAGATATTTGATCCATTGCATTACAATCTAACCTTCCCAAACAAAAGATTCCTGGCAAGAGATGAAGTACACCTTATGAGAACTGGAAGGAACATGCTTGGCAGAGGCCTTGCAAAACTCATCACAAGGTCTTTAAAAGAGGTGAGGAAGAGGAAAAGTAACCAGAGCCAGAACTGAGCCAAATACAGGGGACAAAGATGGAAGCAGGTCAACGACGGTGGTCCCTAATGATTTGCAGTCAAAGACAGCAGGGAAACCAGACAGTACAACACCCATGGCCTTTGACTCTCTATCCACTAATGCTAAGAGCACAGACTATAAAGGGGACCATCTTGAAATCCTAATAGAGGAAGGTTAGTACAATATGATAGGCATCACTGGGACTTGGTGGGATGCAATTAATGATTAGCATATAGGACTTGAACAGTATTCTTTATTCAAAAGGGACAGACCCAACAGAAAGGCAGGAGGACTATCACTTGAGATCAGGTTGTACACACACACACAGCATCTGCTGAAAGCAGATGGATAAAGAAAGAAAGAAACATTATACACAGTAACATAAATCAGCTAGTAGCCCTGAGAGGCAGGGAAGGGTTAACTGACATAAGGGGTAAAATGCTGGAAAAACCAGTTGCCAGCCTTGCAGAATCCCTAGAAGCAAGGCTCGGCTCTCACTATGTTTAAGGGAAGAGATACTGTAAATTACACCCCAAGGACACAGAGATAGCTGTCATGAGGGGCAAATGGTTTACACCTGAAAGCATTAACTGACCATCACCTCACGGTCAACAGACCAGATTTGGGGGGATAACACCCAGGGCCTAGAAAGGCTCAGAGTTCCTCTTCAAGGAGAGGTTTAGGTTTTGCTGCCATTTCTCCATACTGAAAAACACTGTGCTAACCTGCACTGCCTGTGCCTGAGGCCGGTACAGTATTAGAGTGCATAGCCAAGACTATACACTGAGCTTTGCTATTTTATGTCCAAGTGGGCCAACAAGGCCTGGGAATTGGGGTTCTTGGTTGGCTGTAAACTTCTTGTTGCTGCTCTCCAAATTCCCATTCCCTTTCCCTCCCCCATTTCCCCCTTTTATCCTTTTAGCTGTAATTTCAATACCCTCCACCTCTGTATTTTTAATAAAGCTATTTTCCCCAGAAAACCTGGGCTTCTCATGTGCTAAAACTAATGTCTGGTTGAAAGTTCTGGGATGAGGGAAGATCTGGGTGGGACTTTCAGCTCAGTTGGCCATGGGAGTGGGGAATCCTGGTAAGCTTTCCACTACATACATCAAGGTACTACCCTTGTTAGTCTTGGCCTAGTGTGACAGAATGATCTCAGTTCAAATCCAAGGCAAACCATTCAACATCACAGTAGTCCAAGTCTATGCCCCAACCACTGGTGCTGAAGAAGCTGAAGTTGACCGGTTCTATGAAGGCCTACAACACCTTCTAGAATTAACACCAAAAATGATGTCCTTATCATCATGGGGGATTGGAATGCTAAAGTAGGAAGCCAAAAGATAACTGGAATAACAGGCAAGTTTGGCCTTGGAGTACAAAATGAAGCAGGACACAGGCTGGTAGAATTTTGTCAAGAGAATACGATGGTCATACCAAACACTCTTTTCCAACAGCCCAAGAGACGACGCTACACATGCACATCGCCAGACGGTCAACACAGAAATCAGATTGACTGTGTGCTCTGCAGCCAAAGATGGAGAAGCTCTATACAGTCAGTAAAAACTAGACCAGGAGCTGACTGTGGCTCAGATCATGAGCTTCTCGTTGCAAAATGTAGGCTTAAATTGAAGAAAATAGGGAAAAGCACTAGGCCACTCAGGTATGACCTAAATCATATCCCTGAAGAATATACAGTAGAGGTGACAAATAGAATTAAGGAATTAGATCTGGTAGACAGAGTGCCTGAAGAACTATGGACAGAGGTTCGCAACATTGTACAAGAGGTAGGAACTAAAACCATCCCAAAGAAAAAGAAATGCAAGAAAGCAAAATGGCTGTCTCAGGAAGCTTTACAAATAGCTGAGGAAAGAAGGGAAGCAAAAGGCAAGGGAGAAAAGGAAAGATACACCCAATTGAATGCAGAATTCCAGAGAATAGCTGGAAGAGATAAGAATGCCTACATAAATGAACAGTGCAAACAAATAGAAGAAAACAATAGAATAGGGAGGACCACAGATCTCTTCAAGAAAATTGGAGATATGAAGGGAACGTTTCATGCAAAGATGGGCATGATAAGGGACCAAAATGGCAGGGACCTAACAGAGGCAGAAGAGATTAAGAAGAGGTGGCAGAATTACACAAAGGACCACAAGAAAGAGCTTAACATCCCTGATAACCACGATGGGGTGGTCACTGACCTCGAGCCAGACATCCTGGAATGTGAAGTCAAATGGGCCTTAGGAAGTCTGAACAGCAACAAAGCTAGTGCAGGTGACAGTATTCCAGCTGAGCTATTTAAAATCTTAAAAGATGATGCAGTAAAGTGCTACATTCAATATGCCAGCAAATTTGGAAAACCCAACAGTGGCCACGGGATTGGAAAAGGTCAGTTTACATTCCGATCCCAAAGAAGGGCAATGCCAAAGAATGCTCAAACTACTGCACCATTGCACTCATTTCACATGCTAGCAAAGTTATGCTCAAAATTCTGCAAGCTAAGCTCCAGCAGTATGTGGACCAAGAACTACCAGAAGTACAGGCAGGATTTCGAAGAGGGAGGAACTAGAGATCAAATTGCCAACATACGCTGGATCATGAAGAAAGCTAGGGAGTTCCAGAAAAACATCTACTTCTGCTTCATTAACTATGCTAAAGCCTTTGATTGCAGGGATCACAACAAACTGTGGCAAGTTCTTCAAGAGATGGGAGTACCAGACCACCTTATTTGTCTCGAGAAACCTTTATGCAGGTCAAGAAGCAACAGTAAGAACTGGACACGGAACCACTGATTGGTTCAAAATTGAGAAAGGAGTTCAGCAAGGCTGTATACTGTCACCCTGCCTATTTAACTTATATGCAGAGCACATCATGAGAAAGGCGGGCCTAGATGAATCACCCATTGCAATTAAGATTGCTGGGAGAAATATCAACAACCTCAGATATGCAGATGATACCACTCATGGCAGAAAGTGAAGAGGAACTAAAGAGCCTCTTGATGCGGGTGAAGGAGGAGAGCGCAAAAGTTGGCTTGAAACTCAACATTGAGAAAACTAAGATCATGGCATCCGGTCTTCTCACTTCCTGGCAAATAGATGGGGAAGAAATGGAGGTAGTGACTGATTTTATTTTCCTGGGCTCCAAGATCACCACAGATGGGGACTGCAGCCAAGAAATTAAAAGATGTTTTCCTGGGGAGGAAAGCTATGGCAAATCTAGACAGCATACTAAATAGCAGAGACATCACCCTGCTGACAAAAGTGCGTATAGTCAAGGCTATGGTTTTCCCAGTTGCAATGTATGGCTGTGAAAGTTGGACCATAAGGAAGGTTGAGCGCCAAAGAATTGAGGCCTTTAAATTGTGGTGCTGGCGGAGACTCCTGCGAGTCCCCTGGACCACAAGGCAATCAAACCGGTCAGTCCTAGAGGAGGTCAACCCCGACTGCTCTTTAGAAGGCCAGACCCTGAAGATGAAACGCAAATACTTTGGCCACCTAATGAGAAGGAAGGACTCCCTGGAGAAGACTCTAATGCTGGGAACAGTAGATGGCAAAAGAAGAAGGGGACGGCAGAGAATGAGGTGGCTAGATGGAGTCACTGATGCAGTTGGTGTGAGCTTGCGTGAACTCCGGGGGATGATGGAGGACAGGAAGGCCTGGAGGAATGTTGTTCATGGGGTCGCAATGGGTCAGACACAACTTTGCGACTAACAACAACAACAAGTGTCCAACAGAGAAAATGTAACATCCTGGTTTAACAGAAGTCAAAGGTGCAATTACCTGAGAGGAACCAGGCTGGGGTAACAGTATGTGTAAAAAGTTTCTAGGTGATATAGTTGTTCACAAGCCAGCAATGTGATATGGCTGAAAAGTCTGATGAAACCTTTGGCTGTCTTAACAGACACAAAGTTCCCAGATCACACTTAGCAAGGGCACATTTTAAGAAGACCATTCACAAACTACAGCACAGCCAATGGAGAAAGACAAGGACAGTGCAGGCTCTGGAAACCAAGTCCCAAGAGGAATGGTTCAAAGAGCTGGATATGATTAGTCTGGATAAGCAAAGATTAAGGGCAGACATGGTAAGTATTCAAATATCTGCAGACAGTTACAGAGAAGATAGAGCAGGATTGTCTCTGATGCTCCAGAGGACAGGACTAGAAATAACAGGTGGAAAATGCAGGAAAGCAGAGTTTGGATGAACTAACTGGAGAAACCGCTGCAGGAAGTGGTGGCTTCTTTGCTAGAGTCATTTTATTTAGTAATTATACTTTCAGTGTACCCAATAACCATAGTCTCTAGGAGGATTACAACAATTTTAAGACTCTAATTATACAATAAGCATTTAAAATGCAATACAATATTTAGAAAGAATACAGTACTAAGCATAAAGCATACAGATAGATAAAACAGAAACAGAAAACTAGAATTAGGTTGTTAAAATGCCTGGGAGAATAAAACACCTTTGCCAGGTGTTAAAAAAGACCTTGTGTGTGCCAGGCAAATCTTTCGGGGAGCATGCCATAAATGGGTTGCCACAACTGGGAAGACCCTCTCTCTCATAGCAATCTAGTTTTCTTCAGCAGGGCTGCCCAAAAGAGGGCCTCCAAGGACTTCTTAGCTCTATAATTCTATGACTACAAACTGCTTTCCTAACTTCTTTTTTTGAAAATGTATTTCCTCCCAGAAGAGAATTCTTTGTTCAAGAAATCCATGTCAAAAGATTCCTAACAGAAAGCGGAATGCAGGATTCTAAAAATTATAGCTGCAAAAATGTTAGCTATAAAAATATACTCATCAATCAAAATACAAAAGATAAAAGGAGAAGCAGTGGAACCCATAATACAATCCAGATGTCCCCTAGCCCTATTTTTGACAAATCATATCCTCAGCTGTAGCCTTTAAAAAAAAATACATAAGTAGCGTATCAAAAAGGCACCAGGGAAGCAGGGCAGGCTTATCTTGGACTCTGTTTAATACCTACTGAAATTTCTGAAGCAACCAAATAGACTGAATATGCTTTCTAGTAATTACCAGGAGATGGAGTCTTTACCTTTCATAGCTCCTTTTCCATGGCTACTAAACCAAAATTAGTAAGAAAAAGAAAGGTTGTAGGTTAATACAAATAAAAAATGTGCAAATATTTGTTACAGAAGCTAGCTTTCCTTGGGACAGAATGTGTTTGTTTATTCTGAAGTGTGCACAATCATTTGGAAATAGTCAAATGATCTGTACAATACCTCCAATTCTTCAATGGTTGTATTCTCTTCATGGACTTTAAGATCATTCTGTGTATCATCCTCTCCCTGTTCCTGGCCACCCACAATTTCATTCAGATACTGCTGGTCAATTTTATCCAAAGCAGCCTTCAGATCATTTCTCAATCCCTACAGAAAGAAAAACAACTGTCCATGATATGTCAAGTTAATCTGGCAAACAGGTCACTGCCCAAGCCCTTAAAAGAGTTATGTAAGTGGCAAACTTTGCACAATGTGTCATCAGATTAGATAAATCAGTTGGACATTTTCAACTGAACAATCCTAATTGCAAGTGCTAAGAGACGCCTCTAAGATCAGTCTGGGCGACAGGAAGGTGGTGTAAGAGGTATAATGCATATGAATTAAGTCTTCAAACAGGAACTAATGGTTGGATCCAAATTTATACTGGACAAAATGTGCTGGCAGAACCCCCATTACAACTCCTTTCCATGACAGCCCTGAGAATGCTACACAGGGAATTGGGAGATTCTATTGTAAGGGGTGAGTTGTGCTCTGGTGGGGGAGGGAGCTCTAAAAATCAGGTAGAGTGGCTTCTCTCATGGAAGATCCATTCTTACTGCAGAATTTGGTTTATATTTCAATACACTAATAAACTGGAAAATTACTTGGCCCATCCATAAGCTGGAATATCTAAATGTGCTCTCTAAAAGAGGTGCATACTGAATGAGTCAATCAGATATTAAAGGAGATACATAGACCTTGAGGTGGGCAGACTGGCCAAGGGACCCATACAGGTTCAGTCCCAATGGCTTGACTTCAGTTAGCCAAGAATGAGGTGCATTGGCTAAATGGAGCAGTAGAGCCTGGGCTAAATACACACCACCAGTTCCATGTTATGTGTAAAAAAATCTACCAGTTAATTATGGCTCCTTCAAGGATCTCTCTTATGCTTACGCACAGATATACCTTGTTCACTTCTGGAGCCAGAATTTCTATCTTCCGCAACCGCTGGAAAGCATCGTAATCAGTTTCTCCAAACAGTCTGATAGGCTCACCCCTTTCTCTCAGCCGCCTAATAACCTACGAGGAAATAAGCAAAGGGCAAGTTTAGTACAAACTTGGGAGGAAAAACAAAGACAGATGAACACACGGCAGTTTAGTGCAAAGCAACCCCACAGAAAAAGTCTCAAACATTAAAGAAGAACAACCCCATTCACAAATCATTCTCCAGGGTCATTTTAACTCTAGCATGACTCTGGTTTGTTTACATAGTATCAGCAGTGATATAAGTTTTCTAGAAAAAATTGAAATGCAAAATTGCCTGTGCAAATTAGACAAATTTAAATCAGAACATTTCCTGCTGTTCTCCCTAAAGGTCATAATCTAATATGTTCATTTTGCTTGTATTTAGTAAAGAGAACTAAAAGTAACCTATGTTAATTTTCCCCCAATATCTGATCAAGTGACTTTTATCTTTTAAAGTGTGCATTTATATGGGCACTTTTATTGGAATGTCTGTAAACATTTAACGTACTTATTTCTATGCCATCCATAGCCTGAAGGGCTCTGTGGGCAGCTGACAATTTTTTAAAATAGCATGTACTTCACTTGTATTATTTAAATGGGGGGGGTAAGTAAAGTTACTAAAATGGACACAATTCTTCTTAAACGCAATGTCCCCCAGGTAAGCTGGACTACCATACCCAGCAACCTCCCCCCAGGCACTGTGGCTTGGAGTTGTAATCCAACACATCTGAAGGATACCAGGTTGGGAAAGGCTGTGCTAATAACCCAAAGAACTGTGCATGATATGCTGATCACCACACCTCTTTTTCAACAGAGCTCATCTCTCTTCCAGTAAGGCTGCTTGGACAACTTCAGTTTCACTATCACTGTTTATCAGAGTCATTTCACTCAGATATATATGAATTTCAATAATACATATAACTTCATTCACATACTTCCAGGGCTAATCAGCTGAAAAACATTCAACTCTGAAACTGCCTAGCTTGATCAATATTGCATTTGTAAGTGACAGACAGGGCTTCATTTTTTTACTAAGTGAGCTTACAAAATAGCTCATTTTTTGTATAAAAATAAAGTGCTCTATTGCTAGCATCAGTCTAAGAGCAAAGACGGTGCAGGAATATGCCCAGCCTGATGATACAATTTGGCAGTTGCTTACTTCAAAAACAATGGACAAATAATCATAATTTTGAAAGTCACTTCTCTGACAACACAGAACTAGAGTTCTATGGTGGGAAACCGAAATACGCTCTTTCAGCCATATCAGTGGGAAGATATGAAAGATTTTCAATGACTACACTATACATTTGAGTCAACATGTGTGGAAATCATTAATATGTTACCCCAGATACACTAGCACTAGTATACATGTAATGCAGGTTCTATCTTCTTTCTGGAGCTAAACTTTCCCCTTCAACTGAAATTAAGGGCTATGTCCATACCTTAGGATTCCCATTTAATCGGGATTTAATGTTTATTTAATGTTGATTTAAATTCCTGATTAAACCCTAAACAGGAACCCTGATGAGCCTTAACCACTATTAAAGTAAACAATTATGATGTTCTTTTTAGCCACTCCATGAGAGTAGGACGACAGGGAGCAGGAACTCCTGATCCCTTATCTACAGTTAAGATCAAATCATTTCTATGACTGCACTGACTGCAGGCAGTTCAAAGATTGGAACTGTTATGGAATTTCAGAGAATAGCTAGTCTAGTGAACAATCTTATATATGTAGCTATCTACAGCTATTGACTCTTGTATGATTTAACAATATTTATTCTAATGGTCACCCAGACACATAAAAGCACAGTGGCTTTTATATACATTAAATAAACAAATAATAAAATTATACAGTTACTGCATGACAATTAAAATTTACATTATATGGGTTGGATCTGACTTAGGCATACTTGAACAGAACCACTGACATCAAGAGGACTACAGTCAGGCTTGCAATATAAATTCCCCATAAATATTACAATACATTAATAGCCTTACATTGGTCCACATACAGCCAGCACTGAGGATCTGTCTTTACCTCTTGTCTAGAAAGAGTCATAGGCAACTTCTCCTCTGCCAATTCAAGCTCCAACACTGGATTTGATGAAGTGATTGCCTTCTCCTCCTCTTCCTCTTCCTGCTGTATCTGGGTAGCAACAAGAAGCATAACAAGCCATGCTTTTAAATAAAAGCAAAGAAAATTTCAACTCACAGGAACTTAACTTGTTTCTAAGAGCAGCTTTTAATGGTATGCAGCATAGCTGACATGCAGAAACTTCTACAAGCTGCCAGTTAAATTATTTAGAGTTTGCTTTGGCCTCAGAGTTGCACAATGTCTACAGACATTTCATAGTGATTCACTAAGCATGGAGAGCAAGCACTCCGATGCCTTACTATCAAGTTAAAATTTTAGCTAAGTCAAAGTGATGTTTCTGCGAAGGGAAAGGCATCACATACATATACTGGGTGAGGAGGGTATCATAAGAGTTGTGGGTGGAAAAGGTTAAGGGACAAAATGGGATCATGTTTAGTGTATATAATAATTGGAAACGTGTTTTTTCCAATTCTGGTTTTGAGACAAACTATGATTTGCACAAATCATTGCTTGCCTAGTCCAGACAAGAAGGCAACTATGGTGTGATCAAAGCAGAAGAGGGGAGGAAAAGAACCAGAGCTCATGAGGAAAGGGAGAAGCCAAACCATGATTTTATATTACATGTGAACTGAAACACTGAGTCAATTTCAGCTACTATTGTTCTCCAAACCTATGACACTGTCAATACTTCTAAACAGCACAAGATCATCAATTCTCCTCAATAAATGCAGCCTATAATTTCAGCAACTTGTGCAGAATGACTTTTGAGAACCCACATATTCCTCTGTGAAAATGCCAAAGGAATATGCAGTACATAGCCATGACAATGTTTTATAAAAAAACCAAAGATTTATACAAGATAAAGTTCTAGGTTTATTATATAAAACAGCATTTTAAATCTGAAATATACAAATACATAGTGAATATATGCATCTCTGAAAGGGAACTTTATTGTGCTAATGGTGGAGTTAACTTCCAGATGGAAATAGCTTAAGCCATTCCATCAGCTGGAATAAGTTACAAGCAATGTCTGTGCCAAATAAAAAGAAATAAAATATTTTGTTACATAACTTCCCCTTTACAAGCAACTCAAACACCTGTAACTAGCAAAGCAAAAGCACCTAGTTTTGTAAAACACAGACAGCTTTTTACCTCATCATAAGCATGTTAAAATTTAAATGCAGAGATCTGGGAGGCTCTGTGAAAGCATTTAGGGAGCTGGAATGTCTCAGAGTTGTATTTAGAAAGATTTATTTGAATACAGATACCATCCACACTCCTTTTATTCTGATTTTTCCAATTAGAATATAAATACTAAGCAATTAAATTGTACAACTACTTGATCTTACAGTGACATAAGCTAGTAAAATTTACTGAATACCTAAAAATAGAAGAGAAAAAGCTCATTCTTAATGTATGTGGACTCCTCTAGTCTCTTCTTTTTAGCCATCCCACACCATGTCAGTCTTGCCACGGTGGCCCTGTGTACACCAGCCTCACAATGCTAGATGATATGAGCCACAACACTCCTGTTTCTAATGGAAGTTACTACTTGAGAAGAAGTGCTAATTCTTTTCATAAATCTTGCCAGAAAAAATCTTTAATATACTATGTTGAAACCAAATTCTTTAATTTCATTTTTGTATGATTGTTAAATGCAAACTTCTCTGTGTTGCTTCTGTACTTATGTCTAAGAGAGACTCCCAGACCATCAGCAGCAAGGAGTGCTATACACACAACTTTTAAAACCAGGCAGTTGTCAATTTTGATTGTTTTACTGCTACATAACTGATTTTAACAGGCCTAATAGCTCAAAGACAGAGAAATGTCTTCTGACAGCAAAGGTGGTAGTAAATCAAGGATGACTAGCCCAAAGATGAGGCAGAGTTTTATTGTGGATCCTTACCATCACTGCTGACTCAGCTTTAAGCCAATGACTGAACAATACAGCAATCCACTGAAGATAACCGGCCATGGTGGGTTCTCATGTGATGTGAACCTGGACAGCTTCTTGCAGGGTGGTTTGTTCTGCGACAACAAGCCATTGTTGGAGCCCATAGTTTGTTCTAGGGATTGTTGGACCCATTATGAGTTGATGGGTTGTCCAAACTTAGAACACTGATTGCATTGTGGGTCCAGGGAAGTAGTAAGTGTAGTGCTCAGCAATATTATCAAAAAGTCCTTGACACTCCTGCAGGCAACATCTATGGACATCCCGCCCCCCGAGATCAGCAGCAGAGGCCCTCCTCCGGGAACCCTCCGTGAAAGACATTAGGAAGCAAAGTACCCGGACGAGGGCTTTCTCTGCGGTGGTGCCCCGCCTATGGAATGCACTCCTCAGAGAGGTCCCCCTGGCGCCATCATTATTTGTTTTTCAGCGCCAGGCTAAGTCCTTTTTATTTCAACAATATTTTAATAACTTTTAACATCAGCTATATAGGTTTTAATCTGCAGCCAGGATGGATCTGGATTTTATTTGTATTATGTTTTATTTTATTTTTCTTATTTATGTAAGCCATCCTGAGGCTATGCGAAAGGACAGCATACAAATGCTATAAATAAATAAATAAATAAATAAATAAATAAATAAATGGACACTGATAAAAACAGATTTCAGGTACGTTACTTGCTTTCCCTTGACAGTTTATGTTAAAGCTTATTTAAAATGTTCCTTTAAAAGAAATCCTTACTTTTGACAACTGTCAAATGTAAGAGCTTCCATAAACAGAGTGGGATACTCTTTTCCACTTTTTCAAGCACTTAGAGGTTGAGGGACAGGATGGTAAAGGTAAAGTCCAAACTTAAAACCTTGCGCATCTTGCTGTAGCTATAATCACCCCTGCTACACAAGCAAAGACCAGGTCATGGCTTGGCTTTGTGTATGGCACAGTAAAAGCAAAGTAATATTTGAAGCCTGGCTTTCTGCATACCCGAACATGTTGTCTACTTAGACATTCTGGTAAGTGCCTGCTGTCTATCAGGCAAAGCTTTGCATTTTGGGTAGCTGGACCTGTGTGCCTGTAGAACTCCAAACCAGTGAACCCCCCACCTAACACACACATTTGTAACTGAAATGGAAAACATTTGTACACATTTAAAAAAAGAACAGCTGATGAGCCAGTAAGACCTGCTCCACGGTGCCACTTGGGCATTTTAGTGGAGCTGTCATTGGTTGACACTTTGGAGATCACAAGAAGCGATCTTTAAAAAAGGGAAGGGAAAAATTGCGAAGACTTCAAGAGGGATTATGATTGCAGCAGGGAGAGGAGGCAAAATGAGTTCTGCCATGCAGGTCTCCTCAACACTCTGTGAGAAGATGGATGGGGAAAGCGAGGGCAAACAAACTATAGTGAGCCCAAAGTGGGCATTTCCATAAACAACCTACATTGTATAGCTTATCTGCAGGGTGCACTGCCATGCTGTGTGAACTAACCTATTCTATCATTTTGTGAGAGAGGAGTTTTAGCAATCATTTTCAGTTTTTTTTAAAAAATCTGCAATTTTCTCTGTCCAGTATGGAAGTGAAATTGATTAGCTTTATCACCATGGGAGAATGTTTGAAATTTCTGTTTCAAGGTTGGAAAGCTGTTGACTAACTCTGGATGGGAAGGTAATTTATAATGGACTATCATTAAAGCAACATCTGGATCTGAAGAACACTTTCAATCTAAAACAGTTTAGCTGTTCAAACTGCTACATTTCTCCAATTGCATCCAAACTCTTTTCAGACATTCTGGTGGGGGAAAAAAACAGAAAGCCTTCCAGATGACTCATTCATTGTATTTGTCCCAAATACAAGCTGCTTACTATACTTGCCATACCTGCACCAAAAATATAAGCCATATTCCATTGTTTTTCAAGGACTGGATCTTCTAAGCTAAAAAGATACTCCAATATGATGTTCATTTGCTGCATTTTTAAGCATTTGGGATGCCCCAACAAAACCAGGCTAGCAGTGTAAGGATTAGCAGCGTCTTATGCTGTTCTGTACAAGGGATTTGGTTATGTTGGATCCAGTGTACATGCCTGCTAGAGCACAACTTAAACAGAAAACAAGAACAGCTTTATTTTCAAGCATCTTCATGCCCTCCACAGAAGCCAAATTATAAACACAAATTCAAATAGCTACACATCCATGCAAGTTTTTTCCTGCATTGCAAACTTTAGTTGGGAACTCATACCTCTCCTGATGGCTTCTCGTTTACAGGCTAAAGTACAACAGTGGTAGAGTGAACAAAGAATAATTATTAAGGTATTTTAAAATAATATCATCAAGAAGATACTGCATAGGTAAGCAGAAATGCTAACCTAAGTATTATCACATTACCTTGTAGCCACATCTTTGAAAATATGCCTCTTCTTCTTTCTTTGCTAGTTCACTACGCTTGAAGTATTTTTTATTTTCCTGAAAGAAAGGAAAGCAGTTAAACATTATGACATTTCATTAACACCCTTTTAACAATGATGTTCAGAAAAACTGGAGTACAGCATGATAGTTAAGACCTGAATACCAAGTAGTACACCAAAAAAATTCCACCAATATAAAATTATGGTTACAAATGAACCACTAACACATTTTTCTCATTGGCCAAGTATTTTAACTCTATTCAGATATTCTACTTATAGACAAAACAAGTATCTAAGAAAGGGTGTGCTTCAGCCTTACCTTTCTTCCCTGTTGTTTTTGTTACCCTATAATCATGGAGAGCAGTAGTCTGAAGATGTGAGCCACCTGTGTGTGTGAGCCAGAGTGCAGATTTGTCAGCACTCTGCTTCACATGGACAGAGTGTTTGCTTTACCCACATACAGAATGCTTGAACAGGGTTCCTGTATAGGGATAGCTGAAAACAACTTCTGACTGGAGAGAATAAATGACTTTTTGCATATAGATTATTTATATACAGCTTGTCGTAGTAATTTATAGCAAGTTACAAATAAATGGTACAATGAAAAACAGCCCATATAATACAAATTTAATAAATTATTTTAATTTATTATTTGGTAGACAAAGCTTCCAAATCAGAATTCATTTAGGGCTTAATCAAGATACACATAGGTTATTCAGGAACATACCAAACAGTCCAGCGATTCCCAGCCAGTCAGCCTCCAGATGTGTGAGACTACAATCCCTATCAGCCCTAAAGCTGGGTGTCTAGGATGAAGTGAACTGTAGCTCAATATCATCTGGAGGGTACCAAACTGGGGATGGAAAGATTATTTTGGGTTTGGTTCAGAACACTTACAGAACCATTAATAAATAGGAACTAGGAAGAAAAAGCTGGGAAGAATTTTCCACAAGCTAGTATCTCCTGAAAAGTAACATCTATTCTATCTTAGTGGCTAAAGCCTCATATAGATTGTCTTTAGTGTCTGCTCTCAGTGTCTCAAACCTATACCTGATCCAGCTGCGACAATCATATACTACAACAAGCCTCCACATAAGCAGGATAAAAAAGTATGAAAGAGCAAATGCAAAAGGAATGGTCCCTGACACACACAGAAGTCCTGGTCTAGTAGCCAGAGTTATGCAAAAAGAACCGTGCTCATCAGAAACAGTACTGATCATTTATTAGGGGGAGGCTGCATTTGGTGCTCAGTTCGTACAAGGCTCAGCTCAGACTTTCTGGTTCTCACCACTGTGACATGATTTAAAAGGAAAGAACAGATTTTTTCCCTTTTTGCTTTTTAGCTGCTGCATATTGCAGGAACAGATTGGTAGTGGAAGACAAGCAGCCTATCATTATTGACCTTCTAATCAGTTAGCTCTTATAAGTTTTCAAGGAACCCTAACCAAACTGAAAGTCACTCACTTAAAGGATCACAAACCCCATTTTCAAATATGCATAAATAAAATCAGTGCAGAAGGCTCTGCCCGAATTTAAATGTTCACAATGTATTCCCTGTTCATAATGCTGCAGGAAAAAACCTAATATATAAATCAAACCAGATTATTAGATTTAAGTAAGTACAGGTGCATCTTAAACATCCTGACTGAACAGGTACACAAGTCAGACCAAGGGAATTTGTAAAAAGATATGCAAACTGTAGCTTTAATAACTGAGGCTGAAATTTGGGTCTTCAGCTGCAAACCAGACATTGATAAGAAAACTGCAATACATGCTTCAATATCTCTGAACCCCCCATTACATCAAACAACAACTAACTAAAGTTCATTTTAAATTGCATTTTTGTATTAACTTGGTTTAATATAATGTGTATTAGTAACTGAAGGAATTTCATAAATTCAAAAAAGAAAATATATAATGGTTTTTAGACCTCTGAATTTTCAACATGCCACTGAGAGAAACTTGGGGAGGGCGTGCAATATAACATACTCTTCCTTGGCCTGTATCATTCAGCCCATGCTTATTTTTTGTTATTTTCTTATCTGTTACTTGCAATTAGACAAATCTGAATGTATACTGTGGAATACAAAATATTTAGTTAATTCAAAGTTTCATCATCACTAAAATATCTTTGGAATTTTATTGCATTCTAGTATCAACAGGAATATCATATTCTTTTAACTAGATGGACTTCAACAGGCAAACTTTAAAGCTACAGAAACCAACATGCAAACACTGATGTATTAACAGCAGCATATGTTCTATAAAAATGGGTCCTCTTTTTGCTGTTCCAGGTGCTTTCAATTAAAAATATTCAAACTGGGTTATACATAACTCAAAAGCTAATTTTGCAGAGGATATAAAGGTTCCCACCATTTTTGGCAGATCTCTGAGCTCTTAATAGCTGAATTTAAAGCAAAAACTTTTTAAAAAATCAAATTGTTCCCATAACTGGATCTGCGCCAGAAAGATGTGCATACTGGATTTCTTTCTCTTGTACAGCAGTTAAAGACAAATCTTTCCAGCAGAATAGCTGAACATCCCAAGCCCTTCTGGATCTCTTTAAATGTTAATACTGATCATGCCTCAGGTTTTTCCTCACCACCGCCCACAAGATGCATTTTGAAGTCAGTCTCACCACTCTGGGGAACGCTGAGAAAACAGTTAAGGGAAGGTGAAGAAAACTGCTCCTGTAGACGGAAAAGAGTTAAAATACGAAACCCCGCTAAAGCCAAAAAAGCAGTCGCGAAGCAGCGTTGGCCTCTTAGAAGGTGAGCACGGTGCGCGTCCATCCCTCTCAGGAACTGGTCCGTGGCAGACGAACAGGCTATTTCGACGTTCCCAAAACCCACCCAGTTTCCCCGACATGGTGAACACGAAAAGCAGAAACGCGAGAAAGGGGCGAGCTCCGCCTGCTGAATTTCTGCCTACCACCTCTTTCTGAAACAGGAGTGAACCGGGGGTAGCACCCCAAGTCCCCAGCCCCAACGCTACGACAATTCCCCATGGGTCTCCCCTCACCGCCAGCAGCTCCTTCTCTTCCAGCAACTTTCGCTTCCGCGCAATCTCCGCCTTGAGAATATCCATACTCTCCCGGGCAGCGTAAAGGCCCGCGAAGCCACCGCCAGGCCCGCTCTCGCCGCTCGGCCGGAAACCCCGCAGCAAAACAATCGGCCTTGGCTTCCGCACAGGCGCAGTGCGAATCTCAATCTATGATGCGCTGGAAAGTGTAGATTGATCACTCTTTTAACCGCCGCCGAGATTCCGAGTTATTCACAACGGCTTTTCTTTTGGAGGGGGAGGGACAGCTGATCTTAAGAAAGCGTGAAATATCTAGAATTTTTGTTATAGCTGCGACTGGACAGCAGCAAGTCGTTAGCGCCGGGGATGGGTGCGCGGCATTCTCTTACCACAGCCTTTCCCAACCTGCTGCTTTCCGCATGTGTTGCACTGCAACTCCCAGGAGGATTCTTGGAGCCGTAGTCCAACACATCTGAAGGGCACTAGGTTGGCTAAGGCTTGGCTTATGACAATCTTACATTGTGGTCCAGTGTTATTTTTCCAATATTGCAAGCGGAGCAAGGGGATCTACAAGCACCATGTGATGACAGCATTGTAAATACTTGCTTGAAATACTTGCCTGTGTTGTGCTTTTTTCTATCACTACGGAGTGGCGACGAAAAAGTTGACAGACTCGCTTCCGGTTAAGATCCTTAGAGCGCTCCCTACCGACATCCTCCTTGGTCAATTAGGCTGAAGTCGAGGACAAGGCTCGCCCTAAGACGGGGTCGGCAACGGGAGCCGCATGTGGCTGTTTCATCCCTCTGCTGCGGCTCCGTCGCTCAAACTATGCATCACAACCACCAATGTGCGACTCCCACCGGCACGCGATTTATTGAGCTTTTCGACCCCTGGTTGGCCAACCATGGATAAATCCAAGAAAAGAAAAATTTCAGAAGAAAACGTAACATTTAATGGTACGTGGACAAATTCATTTGCTTTCAATGCTGACGAGACTGGTTTACCAGTATGCTTAATATGTGGTGAGAAATTGGCAAACAACAAAAAGTCAAATGTTGCAAGACATTTCCAGAATAAACACACAGCCTTTGCTGAAAAATATCCGGTTGGAGATAAGAGAAAAAAAGCCATTTCGGGACTGATGCAGAAGTTTGATCTGAGCAAAAATCATTTCAAGAAGTGGATTAAGTCTGCAAATCCAACTACATATGCTAATTTTGTGGCCGCCCAGGAAATAGTCATGCACAGGAAGCCGTTCACAGATGGAGATTATATAAAAGAATCATTCATTAGGATTTCAGAACATCTATTCTCGGACTTCAAAAACGAGTGAAATTGTGCAGAAAATCAGAGATATGCCTCTCTCTGTGAAGACTGTCAAAGACAAAACCATAAAAATGGCAGAAAACATCACCAGACAGCAAATTAAAGACATCAGTTCAGCTGTGGCATACTCAATCGCCTGTGATGAGTCCAAAGACAAAGGTGATATTGAACAAATAGCACTGTTCTGCCAATATGTGAACTCTGCTGGGCCACAGGAAGAAATGATTGAGCTGATACCACTAAAAGGTCAAACACAGGGGGAGGACATCTGTCAGGCTGTCTTGGATTATCTAAGAACCAAAGAAATAAACACTACCCACCTGGTGTTTGTGGCTACTGATGGGGCACTGAGTATGACAGGAGCACAGAAGGGCTTTGTGGCTTTACTGCAGAAGTCGCTGGGTAGAACGCTGCTGACATTTCACTGCCTCCTGCACCAAGAGGCATTGTGCGCCCAAACTTTTCCTCCAGAATGCACAGAAGTAATGAATGTTGTCATTCAGATTGTCAATAAAATAATGGCAAAAGGTTTAAATCACCATCAGTTCCACTTGCTACTGGACGAGGTGAAAAGCACGTATTCTGATCTCCTGCTGCACAACAAAGTCGGGTGGCTGTCCAGAGGGGAGGTGCTGAAACGCTTTGCCACATGTCTGGAAGAGGTGAAAACTTACCTGGGCAGCAAAGGGCTCACCTTTCTTGAGCTGGAATGGTCAGAGTAGCTGGAAAAGCTACTCTTCATGGTAGAGATGACAGCACACCTGAACATGCTGAACGCAACTCTTCAGGGAAAAGGATGCACAGCCCTGCACATGCTGGGGGAGGTTTTGGCATTCATAGAAACAGAGAAACAGCGCAAGTCAGAAGGGACCTCCGGCACCAGCCGGCTCTGCTCACGACATGCCCACCATGTGCACGTCCAGCCTATCCTTGAACACCCACACCGATGGGACCTCAACGACCTCTCGTGGAAGCCCATTCCACACCCTCGGGGTCCTGACTGTCAGGAAGTGCTTCCTGGCATCCAAATAGAACCTTGGCTCCCTGAGCTTTGCTCCATTGGAGCGTGTCCTGCCTTCCTCTGCAGGGGAGAACAGGTCTCTACCCATCTCCATGTGACATCCCCTCACATACCTGTATGTCGCCAACATGTCCCCTCTGAGTCTCCTCTTCTCCAGGCTGAAGAGACCCAATTCCCTCAGTCTCGCCTCATATGGCATCCCTTGCAAACCAGCCACCAACCTTGTGGCCCTATGCTGCACTGACTCCAACCTGGCTATATCCTTTCTGTAATGAGGGGCCCAAAACTGAACACAATACTCCAATTGCGGGCGCACCAGAGTCGTGTAGAGTGGTAGTATTACCTCTCTTGATCTAGAAGCCACACTTCTGGCTATGCAACCAAGGGTGGCGTTCGCCCTCTTGACCACAGCATCACACTGCTGACTCATGTTTAGCCTGCAGTCAACCAGTACCCCAAACGCAAGTTGACAGTGTTTGCCAGAGATTTACAGAGAGGTACCCTGTCTCACTTCCCCTCTTTGAGAGAGTTCAAACAAGCTCACAATATGATAAATTCAGAGTATTTGCAGTCTGCAATCACCGCAATGCAAACATCTTTTGGGAAACGATTCTGTGAGTTCAGAGAGGAAAAAATCACATTATCCTTCCCTGTCACTCCCCTGACCATTGATCCATCCCTATTGAATTTGACTGCATTTGCAGGTGTAAGTCAACCCAATCTTGAGATGGAACTGGCCGGCATAGCCGACAAAGATATATGGGTGTCCAAGTTCAAATGCTTGACAACTAATCTTAAAGATGTTGCCCATCAGAAGCCCATTCTTGCTCAGAATCACAAATGGAGTGATATTGGAAACCTTCCCAAACCGAACAAACTTGTGTTCGAAACATGGAATGACATCCCCGACACTTATATGAACATGAAAATGTATGCATTTGGAGTCCTGTCAATCTTTGGATCTACATACGTATCCGAGCAGGTCTTCTCCAACGTGAACTATATTAAAAACAAACTTTGCTCACACCTCACAGACGACAGCTTACAATCCTGTGTGAAGATGAAGGTGACGTCTTACAGCCCTGATGTGCAGACGCTCTACACTGAGGTTCAGGAGCAAAAATCACATTAACTGGGTAAAATAAATATTTTAATTGGCTATTATTTTGCAAATATATATTTTACATTGTCCAGTGATATAGTCCTTTTTTTATTCAGATTTTTATTTAGCTGACTGTATCCTCCAATACACGCGATAAAAGGATGATGGCACACAGAAGCAGACGGCATTTTTGGTTTGCTGCAGGTGGATAATTTAAGTTTGGCTTTTTATTCCATAAATACAAGCAGTTCTCAAATAGACACTGAGTATTTTATTTGAAAGTAACTTTCAACCCATCATTTTTTTTTTTTTTTTTTGGAGTTCAAAATGTTTTTGTTGCATGCAGAAATAAAAATTTGTTTTCTCTGTAGCAGTTCATTGATTTCATAACTGCGAGACACTATAGGTTTTTTTATACATAGCATAAAGGTAGAAAATGATATATGCAATGTTATCTTCATTTTAGATGTCAAAAGGGTTTTGTGGCTCCTGGTGTTTTCTTTTCTGTGGGAAACGGATCCAAATGGCTCTTTGAGTGTTTAAGGTTGCCGACCCCTGCCCTAAGAGAATAAGTGTATGTTGGGGGCGGTGCTGTATGGGGGCATTTGTAAAGTGGCAGGATGACTAACCAATGGCATTAGAGAGCTAGATTAGGATCTAGGTTTCTGAGTGATCAGCAAGGGTTTGTGATTGCCAGCCCTATAACAAAAGCAAGTAAAATTGCTAGTAAAAATATAAATAAAAATGCTCTGCCATGTGCTCATTGGATTTTTCACTGCCTGAGTATTGCTCATTTGTAAAACTCTGGATCTCGAATGCAGAGTTAGGAAGTAAACTAAAGTTCTCCCACTGGAAAGCAATTTTGAAATCTGTCAACTCATATAACCTAGAACCAGTAATCTGTAGAATCAGCCAAACTACATTTAAAATGTGTGGGTTTTTTTTTTTTTTTTTAATGAACAAGCAGCCAATCTGGAGTGTAACCAGTGTAGAGGGATCAAGGTACCAAGTCTTCAAATCTAAATATAATGGATGTTCCAAAAGTAAGTAAACCAAATCCTCTCTCTTTAGGTTAGTTTGACAATGGCTGGGTTTACACAACACAATAAGCAATCCTACATGGTTACTGTAGTTTGTGGGGTTTTACCATGTTCTACCCAATACACCATCAAATTGTAATCATAGGTACCATCCTCCCTACTCAGGCCTCCTGCTGTTGGCATGTATCCCATCAGCCATTCTGCCCAAAATTCTGCCCCAAGATGTACTGCTTTCTGCCTATGTTGCCTGTCTCTTCCTCACTGGTCCACAATTGCTGCTCTTTCCAGGGGATTCTGTGGTTGCATATCAGGGCTGTGGAAACCATGATTCTGGGTTCAGAAAGCATGACAAGCCATTGTGAGATGGAGAAACCATGGAACAAACTGTTTCTTATAATAGATTCAAACTTACCATGGTGAAATACCATGGCTGGGTTTGAACAGCATAATAGACTGACAATGGTAAAAATCTACCATGGCTTGTTGTTTTTTTCTGAACACAATATCTAATCAGTCTTTGTTGGCCACTGTAGCATCCCTTGACCTCCATTAACTGCATGGTGTCTAACCTGCATTTAGTTAAAAGTCGTCTAAAATCATATGGGCAGATAACTGACACATATAGGGACAATTTCCCAAGAGGAGCCATTCTAAAAACAA